CGAGATACCGCCATCTCTGTATTAAAACCTACAACTGGTAGAGTCGGCCAGTTGTTGTTTACCTTTTCGGTATCTGAATGTTTGTTTGTGAAGAAACCTTGTATTATGCGCATCAAGTGAAGCGAGGCGCTGTCTGAGGAAGGCGTGTTCACTCGGAGTGTCGGAGTATTCTTCATATCATAGATGTTACCACAGATACAGGTGGTTAGCCGGGTGTCAGGTTCTTTTCATATTTTTATACAACATCATTGTACATTTTAGTAATACAGATTGTAACACAATACAAGACATAGACTATACAATTATTTGAACACAGTGCTATGATCCTAATTTTGAATGCTAGTGTGTGATAGGTAGCAAGGAATAAAATTTATCACGATGTAAAACTTTGTGAATAATTGTAATGGAAAATATTAAGCAATAGCAGAATGTATGAAATCGATATCGTCTTGCAATAAATGAATAAGATTTATTGTTATTAACTAGAGTTAGTGGGTATAAGCATTTCAGCTGGCACGTAATTATCAATATTTCTCTTAACAGCTTTCTTCTTATTCACAAGTATTCCGCCCTAGAGTTAGTAGGTATTAGCATTTCAGCTGGCACGTAATTATCAATATTTCTCTTCCGTAATATGATTTAGATCAGAAAGAAGTGGTGGCTAAACGAATTGTCCTGCTGATGCTAGGTGTACTGTTATTGACGTTCCGTCGTCAGTCCGTTATCAACTTTAAAAAACTTCGCTACAAACAAATGACCAAACGTCAAACAGTCGACTTGGTGGTTCCTTAAAGGTATCCTGCTAACGTTTTCAAAAAGATATTACCCTGACCAATATTCAAGATCGAAGGGGTAAACTTTGCTAAAACCTTAGTGTGTCGCATAATCGTAATATGGAGTAGCACTGTTTCATCATCTGATTTATATATTGGACTATATTTTTAACGTAATCCATTAGACTTGCACAAGTTCTAGAGACTGCAGACTTTGGATTTGTTCCAAATATTGAATACAAACCGTCTTAATTGAAATATAAACATGAAATTTTGCTTTTGTCGATTTCATATGGTGATGAAGCGAGTTGTTCCTGAGATAAATCCATCATGAACTGTTTCGCAGTTCATTAAATTTATCTGTATATTAACTCCATGCACCACCTCATGAAATCGATAAAAAGAAAGATTCAATGCTGAATTGAAATAAATTAGATATTGACGCAGTTTGAATATGAATGGTAGCGGGATGTTTTAGGGAAAAGCAATGAATGCCAAGTGACGGATGAATGGCAATTGGGCCCCTGCTTTATAATCATTTTCTGTATATCGCATATCCAGGTCATATGTTCACAAACACATACATTTTAACAATACATCATAGCCGAGACATCGGAAAATGACACGATCATATTTTGATCCACGTAATCAACACCACCACAACGATACATAGGGCGGAGATTGTCGTTAAATGATTATACACATAGCCGCTGGTAAAACGTTAAGCAACTAAATAAATTCCATACTTATGAAATTAAAAAAAAAAATATCGTAGGCAGACATTAATAGTCATAAAATCTTATAAATATTTAGCAGAAATCACAAAAACTATGTTTTCTGCTTTTATCAGGTGTTAATAAAAGACAGAATTACTTGTAAGTTCCAAAATATCTATGTTTATTAACAAAAGAACAAACGATTGTTTTCGCATTGAATAGACTGCAAGATATACAGCAGTAAAACCACACCTGATACTAACCCCACTCGCAATATCTGACTAGGAAGGTGTCAGAAGCCCGTTGCACATGACTGGATGAACCGGGAATCTCCAACGCATTTGAGCAGTTATTAACGTATGGGTTATAGGATACTGTAAAAATTAATGTTAAACACTTCTGATATTGGTCCTGTCAGATATTACTCTGGTTTCGATAAATTTTTGATAAGAGAAGTATTGATTACTGCATGGTGATTGAACTTCAAACAATATTTCTACAAACGCGATAACAACAGTATTTACGACTGTTAAAATTGAACAATGTCCTAAATTCCACATTAAAGATTTTTCATATTATGAAATGATGAGTAGTAATAAGAAATGATAAGATAATTTTCATATAAGACATCGCCTTCAAAAAATAACATTCGTACAAAAGTTTTGGCGGTACTGTATTATGTCAAAACAGAGAGAACATGCCACAAACTTGCGTGAGGTGTGTAAGGTATCGTTGAACCTTACTGTCGTAGAAGCAAAACTTGTGTTGCTTTAGATCACACCTGGCCGTAGAGGTTACTTTTTCAGGAGTCTCCCTAAAAAGCTTTCTCCCGATCATATTTTGTTGTTAATCTAGATTCATAAAAGATATCACTAATGTTATTGTTCATTCTCCTCAACCATAACACCTTAATGTCCTTTTGCATATCAAGTAATGTTATATATTGTGTATAATTGCTAGGATTGCGTTTGTTATGTGACCCATGCTAATCCAACCGTCAGGTCTATGCTATTAGTTACAAATAATATAATAGTCACGTACCTTTTAAAAGGTCAAAACTACTCACCGTCAGTAGATATACACCTAAATAATGTTAAAGGAAATCGGGATGATGTACGACTAGCTGGATAGGTTATTAGTGAATGCGGTATACCGTAGACATACAGACTGATAAGAAACGAATGCGGACAAAAATCATTTACTTGTGTTCTAAAGATAGGCTAAATATACTGTTAAAATCATTTCTATTAAGAAGAAGGATTTTGGAGAATTTGTTCTATTCTCTTCCTGCCTCCTTCCCACCCCTAGGAGTCGAATTCGACCATTTATACAAAATCGATTCCTACACAAGTGTATAATTTAAAACCATATCGGCCTTTGGGAGTGTCAGACTCAAACATTTAGGCTGAATTACAATGATTTATTTTATTAATGCTAAGGAGATGAACTTCTCTATCTTATTGAATTCTAAAATTTTACAAGAATCCATATAAAAACGTGTTATTGCTTGCTCGTCTAGCTGTTCAACCAAATCGTAGTCAAAACTCTTAGTCATCTCTCTTATCATTATCATATCTGGGTTACAGTCTTATCGTGATATTGTTTACTCGAGAAGCGGAATTGATAATATGTAGAATTACAGAACCCTCTCCAAAACAAACTTTTCTTTTATAAGAACTTTTGATTTTCCGTTCTGTACAACACTATACTCCTTTCTAAACAGAACGTCGTTGTTCTCTTGTTATGAGAGCATTCTTTTCAAAGAAATGTTAACGTCAGTACAAATATATTGTCTTGAAATATACAAAAATGCATTTCGTCCAAATCAAAGAAGACATATACGGCGGACGATAGCATAAAAAAATAGTCGATTTTCTTCATCGAGTTTGGTAGTAAGATCTTCCCACAGACAATTGCCATACCTTTGGGAATTGACTGTGCCCCTGTGTTGGCTGACTTGTTTTTATACGAGGCTAAAGCCCCACACCATAACCGATCCACCCCCAAACCTATCCGTCTCTACTAAGCAGTAGTCGGTAAAACGTTCTGCACGAAGCCGGTATATACGACGTCGACCGTTTGCTCAAAACAGAGTTAACCGGGACTCATCAGTAAACATGACCCGCGTCCACTGCCTCATTGGGAATAATTTTGGAGGCATGTGCCGCCTCTTAAACCATACGGCGGTAAGGGGCAGATCTTAAAACGGGTGACGTGCCCTCAGACCAACTTCCTACAATCGTTTCGGTAGTTTTTGCATGGATATGACTGTTATTAGTACATGTTGTATGAAGAGCAGATTCAGTGGCAGTAAGGTGCCGATTGCGGAAATGGGCGGGACGAATAGACCTGTCCTAATGTTGTAACGTCACGCGTGGACGCCAAGACCTAGGTCTATCAGCAACCTGCCAAGTTTCCCTTAGACGCTAACAAGACGTTCTGTAGTGCAAATATGGACACTGAAATGTCCGGCAACCTATATTTCCCTTTGACCTTGCATAATCATCACCTTGGCCTGACCCCTCTGAACTCCCGTCAGCCATACCATTGTTTAATGTTAAAATTAATCAAAATATCGGAAAATAATGTGTCTCTATGAAGACTACCTAATTGTATGACTAGCAGTGTAACTCAATGTCATAACACTGCTGTGCACGAGATTTTCCCGTTTCGTGCTTTCCTCGAAGACATTTTCACGTAATACAATAATGCAACATTAGATACAAAACCGCGTGAACTGTAGTCTAGAGAGTTGCTTGACCAATTTTCATTGTTTTTGAACAACACGTTCGCAAGATATTGCAAATAATGTTATATTGCGTTTCTTTATCCCTTGAGTATATGTATGTGTTGTGGAGATGTCTCACTGACAATCAGTTTTTGAGTTTTGACAAACATTTTTTGTGTACGAATCTTGTTTATATTCATGATTTATTTTATTTGGCCTAATTGACAAAGTTTGTCATGGTGCATAATGTTATTAATCTTATTACGCTCCATAAAACAACAACATATGAATTACCACATTTATTTAATTCGTTTTGTAACAACAATAAAACAATGCTTCTTGTACAACATACATGTAAATATATATATATATGTATATGGTAAGAAGATGGATAACAAAACAAAATGATTTAAACGACATTTATAGCTAATATAGTATCAAGGAAAAGTACTTCATCTATATAGACATAAACTCATGTCATAATGTCAGCATTCGTACTTTAAAGTTTGTAGATATACATGTTTGTACTTCCGTATATAAATAACGTCGTATTATCAATTAGGTATTCATCGCTGCTTGAATGTAACATTAATCACCAGCAACATGTCAAATGTGGTTACAAGTAATTTGTCGGTAATGATGTTTTATAATCATTTAGATAATTAAATTTTGTTCATGTGCACGCTGAATACCTGAAAAGGTTAAGGACCACGAGGCCTATATAAATAGCTGTGATCGGCCAACAAACACCTGCCGAGAGTCACCGAATCCGTCATTGCCATCATGGGAAAATTAAGTGTTTGTTGTGCTGTTCTGGTCTTCTGCTTGACCGTTGTATCAGGTGAGCCTTTATGATGTTATTACTAACATTAGTATATAAACACATACGTCTTTTAAGTAAATTCAAAAAGTTGTATTGCGAAAATGCTTTTAATATGATTTCCAACCAAACGTATTAATCAATATCATTACAAGATCTTCACCAGCAACAATAACCTTATGAAATGTATTCTATCTGGCTGAACAACATGTAATGAACAAAAAATCGTTTGCGAATGCATTTTTAATCTTTTGAGTAAATAACTATGTCCATTTATCTGTATTTACATTTAACTGGCTATGAAACGATACAAACAAATGAACTAGTAAGTACAACAAATGACATACACCTGGTTACCATTACAATGCCATAATTTTGAACATCGTCAGGCCAAAGTCCAAGCATAACTGGGAGGCTGTCATTTAAGGCCACCATAATTATCACAATCACAACAGTTCAATACTAAATTACAAGCAGTCGAATGTAAAGGGAAAACACCTACATGTGAAGCCGATATCTATATTATAATACCAACTGGTTATATAATTCAATGTAACATTTTTCTGTATATTTGAACAGCAAGTTACCCCTGGTATGGAGGCTGGGGTGACGACGGATGGGGATCTGACGATGGTGGCTATTTCCCCGGTAGATTCGGTGGCATGAATTCATATTGGATGCCAGGTATGGCCAGCGGATACGGAAACATGGGAGGATGGGGAGGCCCTGGAGGGTACAGCTATGGTTACAATATGCCCATGTCATACGGAGGCTGGGGTTGCGGAGGATGGATGGGAGATGACTACTGTGGATATGATGGCTGATTCAATCTTTTCATTTTCCTTCCAAAGGTACAGTTCATGTACAAGATGATCAACAATAAAAGTAATCAAACTTATACATTCGTGGCAATTTACATTAATCTTCGTTTCCTAGTTTTTTCTTATAAATGTATTTTCATAAGTACTCTTTGCAGGCATGAAGTGTGGAATCGTTATATCACCATGCTGAGAATATGAGATCATTATATCACCATGCTGAGAATATGAGATCATTATATCACCATGCTGAGAATGTGAAATCATTATAACACCATGCTGAGAATATGAGATCATTATATCACCATGCTGAGAATGTGAAATCACTTCAAAACCATTCTGAGAATATGAAATTAATTAATTTAAAATTACTAGTCATTCCCAAAAGTTTTTGAACAGCATATTGTTACAAAATACATGGTATTATATTGCAGCATATCTTATGACCAAATGTATTCATACTGACATGTTCTGGTAATAAAGCCTTTAATATGCAGGTATGCTGAGGTCCAATCATTTTTATTGATATCCATTCAATCAAAATGTATTTATTTACAACGGATATATAAACTACTTACCAAGTGATAAGATAAAAGAGAAACAGCTTATGTTAAATATTTGTGTGTACACACTAGTGTCACTCTACCATACAATACTAGCAAAAAACATACAGTTTATGTTGTACGCCACGTAGCATAACGGTATTGAAACACCAGATTCTTTCTGATTTGATTTTTCCAGATAAAACATTTTGGACGTAACATCAATCATTGTGTCAAGCTAGAAGATACCTCAGACTTCGGAACAAGATTAATCCCCAGCTGTGGAATGGATGTGTTCCATTGTTTACCATTCGTGTTATTTCATTAAAATTATGTTTTTGATAGCATGGTTTTATCTCATATATCTTAGGGCCGACCATGATAGACTACTGTGTCCAGATAAAACAGATCGCAATAAGAAATTACCGTAAGTGTTATGAAGGCAAATTGTATCCGAAAGATCTGATAATGAGAAATACAAGAACTATTTTGTTGGTTAAAAATGTCGTTGTGTTTTGCCGATATTTTCGTCATTTAATGGAGACGTACTTATTACTTGCCTCCTGTCTTGTGATAAAATACGAAACCGTAGCAAAAAAAGGGGGGGATCAAGAACATACCGACATAATCATAATCCACACACAAATTCCATTACACAAGAGCAAAACATGAACAAAAGAACGATTTACATGGAGACTTCTGAAAAAGTACAAGGATAATAAGACCAGGTCTTCCGGAAGAGTAAGTGTCTTCTGCTTCATCAAACACTCATGCCATATGAACCTTGGTCAATCCTATTTAGTAATGTCACGTTTTTTATATCCTTGACCGATTTTAATGATAATGGCACGCATTCACTGAATAAGGGAATGTCACTGTTGGCCTGTTGTAATCTTCCTTGGCTTGAGAATAACGTGGACTCCTTGCTCAGCTCTCAGGACAGCGCTCAGTTTTTTCTGCACCTTGTGTTCACAGTCGGTCGATAGCGTGTATCTATAACAGAAATGCTTATATGTATATCAATTGACGGGGTCGAATGATTTACGTCTATTACATACATAAGAAACAAAGTCAATTACAATAGGGTTTTTTAGTAATCCGTTGTAAAAATGACGATAAATTTATAAACTTGATCACATCGACTACATATCAAGTACCTAGGCGTTGTTAGTTCCATGTATGGTCGATATCACATAGAGTAGTGTCACGTTGGAATGGACCTCACAAGGTGTCCGGAATATTATACTTCATAAATAACATGTAATATATGTGGCATATACATAAAACGTCCATACATGTGTTATTTTTTTATCATTCTGGTTCCTGATTTCACGACAAACCGGAAATATTTGACCTTGACCTTAAACTTTATGTACTTGACATTTGGACAAAAGATTTCTATCTGAACACTATTGTATCATAAGTTTGATCATTTCAGTTTGATCAACGTAGGGGGAGGGTGTTCTGTGGGTGGTACAATCTTTACTCTATACGAGTTGCCTCAGTGATGGCGTAAGATGTACCGACTGCCAGGTAAGTGACCGAATCGCTTGAAGAAGCAAGACCATTTCTCTCGCTCAGGTCGAGTGGGTAGAAAGTACACGAAGCAGGAAGCTTGTGGCAATTAAATAAGATATCTATCTGTATTCCTCATGTATCCTATATGCTATTTGCATTTAAAAATAAAGAAATGAAAAAAAATTAAATTGCTTAGTTGGTCGATCCAGTCTCGTTCCTTACTGTACATGTAAGCAAAACGTCTTTCCTTGTACATGAACTTACCTATGTATGTAAGTAAAACGTCTTTCACTGTACAAGTACTTACCTATGTATGTAAGTAAAACTGTTTTTCCTAGTACAAGTACTTACCTATGTAAGTAAGTAAAACGTCTTTTCTTGTACAGGTACTTACCTATGTATGTATGTAAAACTTCCTCGGAACCGGTTTTAAATACAATCATCACAAGTTCATTTTCTTGATAAGCATTGGATGGTTTTCTTATATTACAAAGGATACTTACATATTTACTTATGAAGATGATTGGTAGATATAATTTACTTTATCTATGCTATTATGTATTACCTCTGCAGGATTCTTGCGATCACAGTCTTTTCCTCGTTCATTGCAAAATGTTGACCAATACAATTTCTATAATAGACAAGATATGGAATGTTTATGTTGATATACCTATTTCGTTAACGTTGATTGTTTAGACAATTGTCCTTGACAACTATTAATAGGATAAATATTACTTTGTTGACATTGGAGCTTGTAATATTACTTTAATTATAGCAGTGTTGATTGTTAATGTCAAACTCGTCATAGATAGTATATTTTTATATATTTTCCAACAATCATCCCAACATCTTTAACAGGACCACATGATTATAATAAAGAGAAAAATTAATAATACAGAAATATATATTTCGTGTTGGTACCCGGATTTCTTTTTAAAACTAAATGTGACAAGCCCTTATGTGCACGAATGAAATGAACTATGAAATTTGATACATAAAATCAAAGACTTTTTCTGTGTAAACCAGATACTTTATAGACTTGACGTGGGCTACACAATTAATAAGATCTAAATAATTAAAAATGTTCTATTAAACTTTCAACGCATTAAAAATATTTACACACCATCGCCAAATTTAAACTTTAATGAAAGATTAATTTTTAGAAGTACACATGCCTCGACCCAGCTGAAAACGGAACAAAGCTGTATGTATCTAATTCTCTGGCGGCGCCATGTTGAAATCGATTTGGATCATAAACATCCGGGTCTGCCCACACATGAGGATTGTGATGTAGGTTGTAAAGATGTAAAGTAATAAGTGCGCCGTTTGGAAGGGTGCAGTCTTGCATTTTGATGTCCTTCGTGAGTCGTCTCTGTATAAAAGGTACAGGAGTGTACAGCCTCATCCCTTCCTTGATACACTGAGCAAGGTACTGAAGCTTCGAAAGGTCTTCCCTAGAAAACGCAACAGTTCTTGATTTCGTTTCCTAGTTTGTGATTTAAAATATCAGATACGACTCCTGCGTTCAAACAAAATCTTACTAGCAAAAGGAAATGACCTCTACATATGTACTTAGATGTATTGACAAAGTAATTGATATACAAATTGAAAAGGTCTCTGTGTACATGTTGATAAAGTTTCCGAAAATCTGATCCACATGTCCGATATTTTCATGATGATTCACCACTACATATCCGAAAATGGTGGCTCACCACCAGATATCCTCACATGGTGACTCACCATCAGATATCCTCACATGGTGACTCACCATCAGATATCCTCACACGGTGACTCACCACCAGATATCCTCACATGGTGACTCACCATCAGAAATCCTCACATGGTGACTCACCATCAGATATCCTCACATGGTGACTCACCACCAGATATCCTCACATGGTGACTCACTACATATATCCTCACATAGTACCTCATCACTAGATATCCTCACATGGTGACTTACTACATATATCCTCACATCGTGACTCACCACTAGATATCCTCACATGGTGGCTCACCACTAGATATCCTCACATGGTGGCTCATCAGTAGATATCCTCACATGGTGACTCATCACTAGATATCCTCACATGGTGACTCATCACTAGATATCATCACATGGTAACTCATCAATAGATATCCTCAACAGATGACTCACCACTGAATATTCTCACAGGATGGCTCATCACTGAATATCTTCACATGATGGCTCATCACTAGATATCCTAACATGGTGACTCATCACTAGATATCCTCACATGGTGACTCACTACATATATCCTCACATGATGACTCATCACTACATATCCTCACATGGTGACTCATCACTAGATTTCCTCACATGGTGGCTCATCAGTAGAGATCTTGACATGATGACTCATCACTAGATATCCTCACGTGGTGACTCATCACTAGATTTCCTCACACGGTAGCTCATCAGTAGATATCTTCACATGATGACTCACCACTAGATATCCTCACGTGGTGGCTCATCAATAGATATCCTCACATGGTGACTCACCACTAGATATCCTCACCAGATGACTCACCACTAGATATCCTTACATAGTTGCTCACCACTAAATATCCTCACGTGGTTACACACCACTAGATATCCTCACATGGTGACTCAGCAATAGATATCCTCACATGGAGACTCATCAATAGATATCCTCACCAGATGACTCACCACTGAATATTCTCACAGGGTGGCTCACCACTAAATATCCTCACGTGGTTACACACCACTAGATATCCTCACATGGTGACTCAGCAATAGATATCCTCACATGGAGACTCACCAATAGATATCCTCACATGGATACTCATCACTAGATATCATCACATGGTGACCCATCAATAGATATCCTCACCAGATGACTCACCACTGAATATTCTCACAGGGTGGCTCACCACTGAATATCCTCACATGATGACTCACTATTAGATATCCTCACATGGTGACATACCACGAGATATCGTCGCATGGTGACTCACCATTAGATATCCTCACATGGTGGCTCACCACTAGATATCCTCACATGGTGGCTCATCAGTAGATATCCTCACATGGTAACCCACCACTAGATATTCTCACATGGTGATTCACAACTGAATATTCTTACAAGGTGACTCACCACTAGATTTCCTCAAATGGTGATTCACCACTGAATATCCGCACATGGTGACTCACCACCAGATATCCTCACATGGTGACTCATCACTAGATATCCTCACATGGTGACTCACTACATATATCATCACATGGTGACTCATCACTGAATATTCTCACAGGGTGGCTCATAGATATCCTCACATGGTGACTCTCCATTAGATATCCTCACATGGTGACTCACCATGAGATATCCTCACATGGTGACACACCACTAGATATCCTCGCATGGTGACTCATCACTAGATATCCTCACATGGAGACTCACCAATAGATATCCTCACATGGTGTCTCACCACTAGATATCCTCACATGGTGACTCATCACTAGATATCATCATATGGTGACTCACTACATATATCATCACATGGTGACTCATCACTGAATATTCTCACAGGGTGGCTCATAGATATCCTCACATGGTGACTCTCCATTAGATATCCTCACATGGTGACTCACCATGAGATATCCTCACATGGTGACACACCACTAGATATCCTCGCATGGTGACTCATCACTAGATATCCTCACATGGAGACTCACCAATAGATATCCTCACATGGTGTCTCACCACTAGATATCCTCACATGGTGACTCATCACTAGATATCATCATATGGTGACTCACTACATATATCATCACATGGTGACTCATCACTGAATATTCTCACAAGGTGGCTCATAGATATCCTCATATGGTGGCTCACCACGAGATATCCTCACATGGTGACTCACCACTATATATCCTCACATAGTGGCTCACCACTAAATATCCTCACGTGGTTACACACCACTAGATATCCTGATATGGTAACTTAGCAATAGATATCCTCACAAGGTGACTCACCACTAAATATCCTCACATGGTGGCTCACTTCTTGATATTCTCACATGCTGACTCACCACTGAATATCTTCACATGATCTTCCTTTAGTGACGTCATCAATCTCCTGTTGAATTTTGGTCTGGTGAAATGGATTGCTGGCTAAAGCGTACAATGTCCACGTTATTGCACTGGCAGTTGTATCATGTCCTAAAAGTAGTCGATAAAGATTCGAATATAGTGCAAAGAAATAGCTCTTGATGAAATGTATAAATAGCGTATGTGTGAGGATTTTTAACCTTATTGTATTTATCTAATCTGCTCCAACGGAATGGGACACAACACTTTCATATGACTAGCTTTTGAATCATTATGCTGTCTCAGTTTACCCAGATTCATTTTTAAAAGATTTTTTTCTGACATATGTCTTATCAGTTTCTCATATTATGAGTTCAAATTGTAATATATATTAAGATTTGCAATCTCCCTTCACAAAATTTCCCAATGAAAACAAAAGTCACCCTCAAAAAGAAATGTATCCGCTTCATCTCGAATTTCAGCATCAGATAGTCCATTTCCAGATTCGTCTTTCGCACTCAGTAAAATGTCGAGGAAGTCTAGATATCGATTTTTGGGACTTGACTCCATTTCTTTCTGCAAGGATATAATGATAATTGTGCGCCATTTTACTTTCTTTAATTTAGTGTAAATGCGAAATGTATAATTTTAAAAGCCTGCCTGATCCAGATAAAATATCTATTTGATATTCTAGTATCACTGCGTTGTTTGTCACCAGCTGTTATACAGCGTTATTCCATTAATTATCAAACATGGCGCCGTGTCTGCTGTTGGTATGAAGTAGAACAATAACAGTAACACTAATAAGTATATGAATTATTCAATGGATTCAATCGAAATATCATGGATATGGACTTTATCTTAATAGGAACTAGTCAACATTATCAATTATTGTATCCTCCAATGGTTTTTATTGATATTGGTTCAATAGAGCACTTTCTGAGAAATCATTCAATTTCATATTGGAGATACTTTCGTTTAATTCGTGGGCGTTAGTAAACGAAACCGCATGTCCACAAATTGTTAAAATAAGTAGAAATAGATCTGTTTACCTTTATTTGTCCTCTAGATCAAGTATCTTCGAAATCGCATTTAAGTAAAAACACACACACAAACGAAAATTAAGCCCCGCGAAAATACTAGATTTTACAGCATGCAGTATATCACTTTTATGTCGTAGGGAATCTTGTTTCAGGTATTAAGTGGGATACATAAACAAGGTCTTTATTTTATATTTTCAAAGCATTAATATTTGATAATAATATTAAAGTTCCTATGACAACACAGTAAAACGTAAATAACGTATACAGAAACACATACCAAGGACAGACGCCATACAGACACCGCGCCATTCCATAAGCACACCGGTCCATCAGACCAGGTCGACTAAAATTGTTGTGAAGTGAAAGGTGAAAGATCACAGGTGACCTATTCAGGCCCCATGAGCCTCTTGTCTAAAGCCGATTATACGTCCTTTCAACAGCCAAGTTATGTTAAGACAGTACCATAAATCAATGGGCCCCGTGGCAGATGTTTTGATGGTGTCATTACCCAGGACCTTAAATACCCCTAATGCATTACGTGCACATGCATACATGTAGGTAACAATGTGATTTGATGGATGCATTGACAGGTAATACTGAGACGGGCCTTATCAGTACTGTCTGTTAATGTTTTAAAATTCATTTGAGAGATATTTACCATAATTACAAAAATGTCCGGTTTCAGTGTTAAGATAAATATTACAAATCGCACATTACATATCATTGAATAAAATATCGTTAAACCGTGTCCACATGCTGTAGAGTCACGGTCCGCGAACTTCTGTCCGTTTTCCGTAAGGTCCTGAATATTACCCACCGGGCATTGCGCAGTACGCCACTGACCATTTCCGGAAACACACTTTTTGAGAAACTTGAATCTTTATTTTTATGAAGTTATCTCAATGAATTTAAATAGATATCCACATTCTCTGTAGCTAATAGCCATGACTATCATGCCACATTAAAGTTGAGCTTCTATATAAAAGTTATTCATAAATAATGAATCATCATGATCATTGCTGTGTGAATATGTTATTCCAATCATCCGTGTATTACCAATGCTTGTTTCCGCTTGGTGATAATTTCTTCTGTCACGGTGTGAACAAAATCACAGTTCCGCCGGAAGCGCCGCCCTTCTGATGTCAGGTGAAATATAAAGTCCGGGTGTAACAACGGCATCCTGAAATAACATAGAACAAGATTCTTGAACTTAGTCTGATAAGAAAAAACACTGTTCCAACATCGTCCACTCCGGGACGCTGATTTAAACTTACTTCACATATACATAATTTACAATATTCCAGAATAACCAGGACGTTTCATCTACAAAGCATATTTCAATTTATCAGATTTACGTAACAGAAAGTTAAATCATTGTTCCGAGTTCTATTGAATGTATTGAGGTGGCAGTGACATAAAACGAAAAGAAATACCACGAATGTTATCTCTGCAATATATACGTATCTATACCTATGCATTACAGTAAGACACAAAGTAAACTGTCTATATGTACCTTGTTCTGTTTAGAATTGTTTGTGACAGTTCGTTGACTGCCTTAACGTACGGGTGCGTATTCCTGTAAAACATATACAACAATTACACCATTTTAACTATCAACATTAATCACTACGTATGAAATTATGAATCGGAACATTATTTTTGCTCCATTTCGATTCCTTTAGAACCCTTTAGCAATTAAAAATGGCCCATTACATTCTTTATCCACTCTAGACGTGAAACGGACATGCAGTGCTGTGATTAAAGACCACGTTGCTGGACGGTTTTAGAAAAGTCACATTAAACCAGGTAAAAAAATCTGAGAGAGGTCCATCAAGTACTTTTTTTCAAAAAATAAAGATAGCAATCTTAATGTAAAGAAATTTCATTTGCCATCTCAGAGGGATTCATACAGTACTTCTCCAGAAATAGCGATAACATAAATTGTTTACGGACCACGGACCATGGACGTAGGGCGATTTGAACAGCCCTTAATGATCAAAAGAATCGAGGTTTTTATTTTTACTCCTATTCGAAAGACATTTTTTCTTTCCAATTTACCTGTCTCAAATTTTGACATATCGTAGACATTAAAATAGTACTTAAGGGAGACAGGTGCGTCATTTGTCAGTATACTGCGGTATCGCGGGGAGGCCCTACTACCGTGTCCCACGAGTTGACACTGGTGTGAAGATATTTATAAAAGAGGTTCACCAGTTGCTCTATCGCCTGTGGTAACATTTTGGCTCATTCCCCGCACACCAACTCTGGCAACAGGAAAGTGTTTATATAGGGAATCCTTTGAAGCTTAAGTTAAAGTCTGTTTCAGAATGTCAACTTATTTTGTAAATAGGATACTTATATATCAATTATGAAAAAGATGTTTCTATTTGTCTTAATTAATTGTAACACTATTTTAAGCATATATCAAAGTAAATAGTTATTAAATATTAATATGAAATATTATTATTCATTATTTAATTATTATCATGTAAGATTATGTTTAATTAATAAATAAAATTCATTAAGTCACATTGATATACTGGTTTCAGCAATTAAATTGAATTGGAGGCTCTATCCACGATGAAGAAGCTCGGATGCTGAATCAGCATAGGTCATCAGGTCGATCGTCCCAGTCTGATGACGGTCCTTCAAGGTGGTCAGGCGTTTGTCAATGTTGGCGTATTTCTTCTTCCGGAACCTCCTGCATCTCTCAGAATCCGACTGATGTCATTCATGTTCTGTATGTCCTTAAAGCCCCAATATAAGTAAAAATTACTAAAAAAAAAACAACTTTATCTTATTTTCCCCGTAATATATGTAACAAAACAGAGACTTTCCTTTAATTAAAGCAAATAAAACTGACTGTTTTCAATTTAAATAAAAATTGAAAAAATCGCAAAATAAACAATGTGGGACCCACAATAATTCATACATTACCGCTCGTAGCGATGACATTGCGCATGTGCATATTCCGCGTGTGTAAACATGGCAGACACAGTACAAACGTTCATCAGTCGCTTCCTTTTTTTCCAATCATACATCAGGCCAATTCTGAATTCTTACGTTATAATTGTGCGTCGTATCATTTCTAAACTAATTATTCCTTCTAATTATTTTCCAAAAACTGAATGTTTATCACAGGAATACCTCAAGTCTTCGCAAACAATGTTTGTCTACAAAAACTTACCGTAGACATATCTTCATGTGCTTCCTCTATAAGTAGAAACCTCAACTCTCGCGAGATCAGGTCATGAACTTTCCGACGTGGTTCGGCAACAATCGTAACTTCGATGGCGGCGTGTTTAAAATGGAGGTGTGTTTACAAATAGCGAGTTTCAACTGCTCATATATCAATATTTTATGCACAGTCATGGTAACTATTTTTTGAATAACTTAATTTTAACTACATCTTAGAGAATATCTCAATAATTATGTGTGATTCTACACTAAATTTTTCGTGAATGTTACGTATATTGGGGCTTTAAGCGTCTGGATGACGGTGTAAATGCTGGGGTGGGCATGCAGTACCTTCTTCTTCAGGGTTTGTAATCAGGTTAATCAGGTAATGCGGTTTAAGAGGTGAGCAGAACAGCAGCTCGGTGTACAAGTAGTTTGACATCAGTGTTGTGTTGTCTGGAGTCCGGATGACTGGGCCTTTCACCAAATGCACTGGGTGTAGCGGGAAAACATCCTTTAATGGTGATACCTTGGAATACACTTCGGATGGCAGTGTGTGTGGCTACCTCAAAATCGACGAAGGCTATAGTGGGTCAGGATGGAATCTGGAAGTGTGTCAGGTGGTCCTGTAGTAACGTGAAGAAACGGTTGTAGATAGCCTGGCTCTTTCCAGGAAGTAGTGCATATACAACTGGGGTTATGATGCCTTCAATCTGTACATAGATGCTGTAAATCTGGTGAAACGTAGTTAGACAGGTGTAGAATTTGCCACCACAGAAGAATGTGTCAGATGCTGCAAGTTCGGCCAGGTTCTCTGATTTAGCGAATGCGAGCATCCTGTTGTTCTGTTCACCGTCGTCAGAGAGCAGAAATGGTTCGCCTGTAGATGTTTCTGGTTCATGATCTGTTTGGCTACAACACTGGCTGGGTCTGAGGCGTGGTTGTGTTGATTTCTTCCAAAGTTAGCTGGTATGTTTTCTGCAGTCGAGAGGGATGCTGAACAACCTGAGGTCGAACATCTCCAGAATGTCCTGTTGCCGTTCCTTCGAATCTGTCTGTAGATGAATTCATTACGCGAAAGGTTCTGTCAGCCTCTTCTGTTGGTGATGAACTTAACGTTGATCTGAGCGTTAAGATTAACCAATATATATGAAAAAAAGTTATGATAATTCACCTTTAACTGAAAAAGTACAAGATCAACTAATATATGCGTGACAAAAGTTACGTAATAAATCAAGCAATGAGAAGTTGCTTCTACGTGCAGATTGAAATATAATAGTTTTCCAAAATGTACTGGGCTTTTATACATTTCTCATTGAACGGCTTAGGATTGGAACAGTCTTAACAAATATATTTGATTCCTTTATTTTACCGTTATTAACAGATTTCTAAACAGTTATCAGAACTTAATTATCTGATTTACCTGTACAAGTTACCTGTACAACAATTCTGCACCAGACTATAACTCATTATCATCACAACTGACCTCCTATATAAATATGTCGTCATAGGCAGAGTTGGTGTTCAGGGAAGACCCCAACGTTTTCAAGAGCAACTTTAACCCGAAGTGGGATATCGCCGAATTTTAAAAAAGAGACATTCATAAGGAATTTGAATTTTATCTAAATGGGTTGTTGAAAGTGACCTACATACAACAAAGGAATATGTATGCTATGAATAGCTGTGTATCCTACCCTTTAATCTGGCAGTCATTTTCGTATGAAAAAGCACATCTCAATATAATATCTAGGGTACACATGCTGACGTTACTGAAGAGTTCCAAGCTCTTACCATCCTTCACGTGATCTGCCATTTTATTCTGATTCATATGAAACACAAAATGTAAAGTCAGTGTTATACATTGCAAGGCCTTAACGTGCACATTACTTCAATGTTTATTGATTTAATCAAAATTTAACAACCAGAATCTGTTGATTTTGGAATGAAAAAATAAATTTTCTTTTCAATATTGATGTTTCATGTATTTTTGTCTAATACAAACAAGGAAAGAAACTGTATAACAGACAAATGCTAAAACAAAACAAACAAATATGCAAGCAATACAGAGAAAACCAAAGGCAAATATAATGCCCCAGCACTCAGTATTTATGAATTACCAACAGGAGAGTGGACGCCTCGTTATAAATCCCAACATACGGCCGCAGGATGTCGAAGTGGAAGGCTGGGGTAAGTAGCCGCCGTGACCGTGCCCATCTGTCACCGTTACTGACAAGAAGGCCTTCCCCAAGCCATGGCAGCAGGTATTCGTACGATCCAGCTAGTCCACGCGCCTTGGGTTCTGTCAAGCATATTGGTGTGTATTCTGATAACCCTCGACAAATCTTATTTTTTCCACATACTTCAAAGGGTGTATTGTAGTTGTTAGGGTTGGGATACGTTTATCTCACACATTTCACAGGGTGGTACCCTGGTATCTAGGGGGTGGGATACATTTATCTCACATATTTCACAGGGTGATACCGTGGTATCTAGGGGGTGGGATACATTTATCTCACATATTTCACAGGGTGATACCGTGGTATCTAGGGGTGGGATACTTTTTTCTCCCACCTCTGCCCATGTAGGATAGACATGTCCCATGTGGAACACCCATGAAGGATAAATCTATCCCACATGACTGCACCCGGTGACCTCAGTCGGCCATCACAACGGACTCAAACCGACGAGTGGATGCTTTGTTTGCAGGTTCCGTAATGCGCGACTGTAACATCACAGTTAACATTAACTATAACAATCCTTGTCCAGTGAACACAAATAAACGTCGGGGGATCATCTATGACTCTGATTCTGAATGAACACACACTGACTCACACCATTGCAATTTTTCGCGCGCATAAACAATTGACGTCATTATAAACTGGGAAATCCCCTTTTTGTCCATGACATCGTGGCAAGCCTACCCTACCTTAATAAAGGATACGGAGTTAAATGTTGTTCAATACAAGTATTTCCATGTATCTATCGTTAATTAGAATATTTAATTTCCAAAAAAATAAATATTTCTAATGGTTATTCATATTGCGTTTGTAGTCTGTCATTTTGCTCTCGCGGAAGAATGTAGAATTTTGGAAACGTGAATGGTGATATCCATGCGCCATTCAGACACCGTGGGATTTTTTTTTTTTTTTTTTTTACGTCGTGGCGGAAATAATGGGATGGGAGAAAAATAATCGACCCCTACCCTCAGAGGATGTGACAGAGAAATATCCAACCCTCGGGGTAATTTTTTTTTGTAGTCTAACCCTCGGCAGAGCCTCGGGTTAGACAACAACAAAAATCACCCCTCGGGTTGGAGATTTCTGTCACACCCTCAGGGTAGGGGAAGATTCTATTAATCTCACATATTTCACAGGGTGATACCGTGGTATCTAGGAGTGGAATACTTTTATCTGACATACTTAACAGGGTGATACCGTGGTATCTAGGGGTGGGATACTTTTATTTCACATATTTCACAGGGTGATACCATGGTATCTAGGGGTGGGATACTTTTATCTCACGTATTTCACAGGGTGATACCATGTTATCTAGGGGTGGGATAACTTCATCTCACATACTTAACAGGGCTATCCCCTAAACAGGTATATATAGACATTAATCAGACATCTTTTACGTAACTTTTTCATCGCGCGGTCTACACGAACATTGCCAGTAACTAGGAACTAAACATTTCCGTTACAGCTCAGTAATTCAAACGTTAAAGTAATAATCTCCCTTACAGATATTAAAATTGCTGTTCGATAATTTAATCCAGATCTCTTACCAGATGACTTCAGAATTAACTTTACAGAATCTGGATGATGAACGAATATATTTGGTACGAAAGGTCCCAGCCACATCCTGCAAACCCGAGGATTTTTCATCATTAAACCTCGGTGTAACTGTAACCTTCCCTCCGTATCGCTTGGAAACTGAAAAGATATTCACACGAGTACCCCTTCTTAAAAGTGGTCGTTTCTAATTATTTTCAACACAACATATACCAATACATTTGACAGCCTGATCATATTTCTATGGACTTCCATGAGAACACATTTTTCTGTTTTTTTTTTTTAAATGTGTGCTATCAAAATTATTTCTGTTTATATGTCTTCTATTCACTTTGACTATCTTGATTTACGTGTAAAAGAAAATATCGCTCGAATTCTGATTTTTATTTTTAGGCAGCAGTTATCATTATCAACATCAAATGTGTTTCTTGGAGCGTTAACATTCTTCAAAACATGCGGGCGATATATCTACATTGCACTAGAAATGCTTTGTCGCGAGTAAGTGGTATATTATACAAAATAACATACACCCATTTACAAGTCAATTCAAAAATCTAAAAGTGTAATTACAGATCCATCACGCGAAATATTCACAGTTTCGACAGACGGACATGAAAATTTAATTTTTAATTTTCTAAATTTTGACAAGATGATATCAAATTACATTCACACGGTCTCACACTCACAGATTATATATCAAACTGATTATCAACATCATTATCATTATTTAATACCATCATGACATCATCATCATCATGCATAACATAAGCAGTATCCATACATCAGTTTTTTATCATCATAACCTACGTGATGTCAATTGAAGGATTGTCATCCAAAACGAACTTTAAAAGTTGAGAATTATTCTCCACTCCTTCACTCATATTCACACATTAGCACACATCCCTCGTCCCATGGTGTTTAGTAAAGCAGTACCTAGATAAGCAAGAGAAATCTTACAGACTTAAACCTTTGAGAGAAAGAGAGAGAGAGAGAGAGAGAGAGAGAGAGAGAGAGAGGGGGGAGAGAGAGAGAGAGTAGGGGGGAGAGAGAGGGGGAGGGAGAGAGAGAGAGAGAGAGAGAGAGAGAGAGAGAGGGGGGGGGGAGGGAAAGACAGAGAGAGGGACAGAGACAGAGATGGGGGGGGGGAGAGAGAGAGGGATACATATATATATATATTGAAAAATATTTTCAAAATAAGCGGTATACATATAAAAGGTTGTGAAGGTCTTTCCGAATGAAACTCGAAGTTTCTATAAAATCATTTCACTGATGTCACTAGCCCATGGTAATATAGAAAGTCGGTATTAATTTTAAAATGTCGCAGAAACTCATCAAATGTATAAAATCATTTGTTTTTTTCTATCAAGACATTCAATGTAAAAACTCCAGTCCTAGTTTAGTAGTCAAGTAAAGATCAACAGCTCTGAAAAATAACGTTATGATTAATAGAAGTTTCAAACTTAGGAAATGAAGATATGCATCATATGTTAATATAGTCTCGGTAAGCTGTTTGATTTAAAGGTCTGGACTACCGTGGTATTGACCAAAATGCTCCTGAAACCAAACCATACGTTGACAGAAAGAAAGGTTTTATTCAGGAGGGGTATAATTGTTGTGACAGCTAGAACGCTATTTAGGCATTTAAACATATTGTATTACACATAACAGGAACGCGGTTTACCGCAATTACTCCCTGTTAAATCTTACATGTCACAATGCCGACATCGATGTCGGGGTGGGGAACCGATTCCATTAGAAGCGCTATCAAATTTCATACAACTGTTGTTAAAAGGTCCGTATTCTCTGTCCTTGTAATATACACATGTACACGTATGTGTCTTGCTTGGATGTGAGCTATCGTAACAAAATACTTCACAGTGATATCTATGAAAAGATCTGTGTTTGTATAGAGCAAGCCTGTAATACTCTCCCTTAACTATTTGGCATTTTATCTAATTGTACTGCGCTGTACGTTAAATTCTTCTTTAACATCACATCACATCATTACATCACAACACCGCTTCATGATTATCATCCTCCCGAAACGCGTTTGAGGTGGATATTAATTTGGGTCCGTCCGTCCGTCCTTCCAAGTTCTTTCCGTCTAAAACCTCAAAACCGATCAACTCCACTTCACAAAACTTGCTGTATATACTAAGTTAGTGCAATATTTGTGCCTTTTTATATTGACGACATTTTTCTGTTACCATGGAAACATAACCAAAAACACAAAATTAGCGTTAACTTTACTTTCCGGTCTACAACCTCGAAACCATCCCACTAAACACAACTTTCTGTATATATTAGGTTAGTGTCTTTGTTGTGCCTTTTCTTGTTGAGGATAAATAGTATTCTGTTAAATGTTTGTGTAAGCCGCCTTGTAATAGTAAGGGACTGAAACCGAATTGTAGTGCGGTCATACTGAAAGTAACCCTACAAAGGTTTTTTTACCGATATCGGTCGAATCAATCTCCACGATACTACAATACACACACAGACAATGAAATTTACACGAGAAAATAAAACGGACAAAAGGTGTTACTTTCCATGTATTCAATGTGAATAGAAATTGAATTATAACATTTGGTATTCAAACCTCCATGGTATATATTGTATACCAAACACAACATGTATTACCTTATGTATATTTCCCATAAGCCAATGGTAGTCTTTGTCCTCGAATCCTGGAATTTCGTCATAACGTTTCTTCATACTTCGGTAACTGCTCCACAGTGTCAATGCCTTTACTATGGAGAACACACCAGCTATGACGTAAATGAGTTGTATACCCAGTGACGTCACGCTGACTTCTATCACAGCCATGTCTGAATATGGATATATAATCTGCAAATAATTATTCAAAACTTTTCAGTTATACAACTTTGTAACAGAGGTCATTATTTATTTCAAGCTTCCGCTAGGAATCGAACCTGAAACACCTGGCTTACTAGTCTGACGCTCAACCAATCGTGCTAAAGAGAAGTTCTCTCTAGCCGAGTGGTATTTTGTGGCTAGTATTTTACCAGGGTTACAATTTAATCTAAATTTCTGTAAGATTATCATTTCAACTTCGTTTTATTGTCATGATAAATATTACCGTTTGAATAATCACGATGGTTGTGACGTTTCGCGGTATGTAGTTTCTTCTCGTTACCTAGGTTGGCTTGCTGTATAATTACTTATCCTTTATCAGAAATCCTGTTCGAGGATGAAGATGTTCTTAGGGTAAGAGAGATATCTAAAACATCAGTTGTACGTACGTATTACTCCGTAACACTTATAACGGTGTACACCCATCGATTCGTATAGATACATACGAGTTGTTTCCCTTGGAAATCGTGTTATATAAATCGACTTGATACATAAACTGGGAAGACAAAGTACACGTTTATTAATATGCACAATGTGACGTATGTTCTAGCGAAACTGTCACATACTTTGTGTCGGATGATTAAGTGACAATACAGTACTTACAGATATAACAAATGGACGTGACAGTCGGCGTTATTTACATGACCTGGGCTTCTTCCGGAAGCAATACTCATGAGGGTAGTATCCTAAAGGTCAAAGTGTAAGGTATGTTTACACTGATAAAGCCCTGATCAAAAATTGATATTTAGAGACATGTCGCTGACGATTAGGCTGTGCTGGGCTTACCAGGTATATCACTATTAATATACCCTATAATAGACCTTCCCTTGTTTACAGACATGTTATTTTATAGAAATATCTTGCTGCATACCTGTCTACAATAGTTGTAAGGACATCCATTACCTATTTCTTCTAGAATTTCCATGTTCGTATCATCTGTATCGACGAAGAGCTTTACAAGGCGAAAACGGTTTTATAATATAGTTTTCTACAACTGTAAAATACATATTACATCAGTACGTCTTTTTAGATCACTTTTTCCTTTTTTCTAGATGAAGTCGCAATCTTGGATGGAGGAGGAAAATATGAGAATTGATAATATTTTATTAGGTTTGATTGGTTGATTAACAAAGAGCGTAATAAGGGATTTAATTGAGGGTTTGATCTATTATTTAAAACAATAAGGAACTTTTGTAAGTAAATTATCAATCATTACACCATTACAACAATACAATGTATATTAATACAGAACGTAAACATCTTACGGTGACTGCCTTATTGTATTGGAGGAGTCACGGAGACAGAGAACCAGTCAACCAGCCAGCGCGAAACATTAGCCGGATTTGTACTATACTGAGAAGCCACGTGCACGTTGCTTTGTACTCAGGAATTTGGATAAATTACCTGTAAAGTTAGTACACCCCTAATGTGCCTCAAATGGGAAAAATAAAACAAACCCTTTAACAAAAACTCACTTCATCAATTTATCATGATGTTTTCGCTGTCCTCGTTTTAAGAGTCTTGTTCTTATGCGACAAGATTCAAGATTTTTTATTACTCTCTGACACACATACGCATGTAACAAGAGGTCATACAATATTTAAATCAGACATTTGATACAGGGAGAGTAGATAGTACACATTAAAGTTCAACATAATCTCAAGCAGTGTGCATTTTCTAATTTAATTGTTCATTGTGTGAGTAAAGACGCCGTCACACTCTAGCGTATAGAGCCAGCGTGTGAGGAACGTATCAAATATTTCGAAAAATTGTTTATACGCACAACTTTTCAGCGTATGAGGTCGATTTTCGGTTAATGACCGTCAGAGTAACGTAAGCCGAGTGTAACGTCAGCGTATGAGTACAGTTTACGCATAGCGTATGTCAGCGTATGTGATGTAATGTGTATTTGAGTTTGACGTATTCCGACGTATGAGTAACATATCAACGTCAGCCTTACGTATGAGGAGCGTACACAACGGGGGTTTAAAGGTGGCAGCGCGCGAATTTCGTCATTCCGCCAGTAGACTTCAAGCTGTCAAGATGCCAAAAGCTGGTACTCTCTCAAATTTGAAAATGAAACCGTTTAACGATAACAACGTTAGCTAAAATTGACCATCAAAATATCAGAAGATATGAGAAACAAGACAGCATTGATAGAAATGTTATTTCATTGTGTAGACCTTAACGGAATATTAGTAAATTCTTCATGGTTATCTACGTGATCTGCAATAAAAGAATTGAAATATTATGATTGCGGCATTCCAAAATGTTAAATAAGTTCTTAAATTTTTATTTGATATCTAATCTAACAGTAATTTGACGGAACAAAATACCGTATTATTTTGTGAACTTGTGTAACATGGTGAAAACACCACGCCAAAGCTTGTTTTCTTCTTAATAACATTTATTCAATGCATAAAAAACCCTAGAAAAGAAACAAAGACAAACACTTATTATTGCACACACAACATCAGGGGACATAATTCTCGCACTGTATAATTACCTATTTTTTCCTCTATTATCTAAATTATGGCAAATACAAATTGTTTACCAACTTTACAATATAATTAGATTATTTAAATTAACATTACTTATACAGTACTGTTATATGATTAAATAATACAAAACACAGAAAATACTTCTATGACTAAATTGTCTTACTTTCCTGAAACATACATATACTATCCATATTTCATATTCATTAACATCGAATATACATTTCAACGTAATAATTTTATATAGTAAACTCACCCTACATATGGTGTAGAGGTTTATAGAGGTTCTGTAATATACACACTTGAAACTATGCTGTCTCCCGCTATCACTCTCCAATTATCTATAAAATTAATACAACTACTTAATACTTGTCATATACCGTTTAACATGACAATAGACAACACAAATTGAGAATTAAAAATATGATCAGGCAACTTTGTAGCACTGCAGATAAACTTGGGATAGCCAAACTTCCAAAGAAAAAAAATGATACAAGTATTATACTATATATTAAAAAAAATACATTTATTCTACAGGACTAATTTATTGTAATATATATTAAACAATAAATTAACTACAATATTCTGAAATATTAATAAACATTACAAACTTACCAATTATAATGTATCTCCGTTTCTTTCTAATCAAAAATGCATCTTTCCCCTTGGGAATCTAAATCTGTTCTCCAACAAAGAACTGAATACCGATGTTCAAATCAAGCTTACTTTCCCTCTCATGATGGAATCTAGCCAATCAAAATCGTCAATGTCGGTTCACTGGACAGGTCAGTGGCTGTCATAGGTCAAACTTGTGCATGTACATGTATTTACCATATATGGGATTCATACAGGTAATAGTGAATACAATTCACATCACAAGACATACTTACCTGGCATTCTATAACTAAAAATAAAACATTATAAATATCTGACCCATGTCAGACATATAGACATGTTACCTATTAAAAATACATATAAAGTTAACAACCTGACCCATGTCAGAAGATATAAAATATGCATTTCTGACATTGTCAAAACATGCCCTAGTACGTAGGTAAAATTAAAAAGCATAAATAACACACTGTCACATCCCCCCTGTTGAAAAATATGACCTCCGTGTCATTTACTACTTATTACGGCAAGTACTGCAGTCCTTGCACACTCTGGCATATCCTCAAATGTACGTGTACGGGCAAGCTCAGCAATGTACTCTGCACGTAATAGCCAGTCTGGTCCTTTTGTAGGGGTTTGTATACTCAACAACAGTTTTGACAAAACCAACCATTGTACATATTCTGATTCTGTATTGGTGAGAGATATAAATGAATCATGTTTAAATGTGACAACTATACCATTCGATTTTTTTTCTTGGTCACGGGGGATATAATTTAAAAACCTCGATCGTTACGTATCAAGTCTCAGAACACAATTATGACTCTAATGTGTTGTGTCACAGTTTTAATGGATACGACAGCTACCCTGTACGAAGTTATATTACCGGAGGTTATCTCCAACGACTCAAGGTACTTGTTTATTGATGTTCTTCAGTGTCGAATAAGATTATTGGACATCATCAATGTTCTACCGATGGCATTGGCAGATCTACCAGAAGCTTTTGGAATCAACAATTGACAAAAGATCATTTCTCCCATCTGTTTAATCGTAAAAAGAATCAACAAGTGCTACTTTCATCTCTCCCGGACAAGAAATACTACAATCCGATAGGTGTCTGCGAAGAGAAAGTATTTCTGCTGTAGTCTGACGCACAAAAGAAATGTAAATTTAGTTTCCAAGGTGAACTATTAAATTACTGTCGCTCGGACGTTGAAATACTACAACGATGATGTTGAAAATTCCAGTTTAAAGTGATGACTACCAAGGACGAAAATCAAGGTGTCGACTCCTTTGAAGGCTAAATCACCATAGCTTCAGCAAGTAACTTGTACAGGACCAACGTTCTCTAATCAGAAAGTACTGGAATCATACCACCTCACGGCTATCGACCACAAGATAAGCAGTCAATCAAAGCACTGCAATGGCTCAAATATGTTTCGTTCGCTGGCCACGTTGATATCCAACACACCAAGAATTAAGAATTAATTATTGTGACATGACATCTTTGTACAAAGTAGGAAAACTTGGTCCCGACATCATAACGGAAAAGCTTTCGTGACATTGAATCTTACGAAGGGCTACTTAAATGCACGATCATATCAAAAAGGAACTTGTACATACCAGTATACAGCTGCTGGAAAAATCTTGTTCCCTCGTTGTTGCACTTGCGTAGAGATGTCATCGAAAGCAAAATGCGAGCACGACGACGACGAGAGAATTACAACGTGAACGTGTGAAGAAAGTTGTTTACAAACAGCTCACTTTAATCCTTTTGCACTTTATCATTTCAGTTCTAGGGTAAAGTCGCTCAACGGACTAACAAGGTGCAGTCGACCTACGTCGCTGATCCTGTTTCTAAATGATGACCAGAGACATACAGAACATCAAGGATGTAAAGATAATGGGTGATAGCATGGTGCGGATGAACTGGTAATACGCAAGCGATTTCGGCAAAAACACTGGACAAACAAACGTGGTTGTGGCGGCCTACACAACCGCCCATGCTTGTCAATAGTTAACAGCTACCAGGAACGACTGGACACTCAGTCGCTGTACTGTGACACGGATTCTGCAGTGTTCACTGTACGTCCTCGTCAGTTGAAACCTGAGCTCGGGGACTACCTGGGCGATTTGACGAAGAAGGAAGACGGTATCGAAATCCCGGCCTTCGTAACTGGTCGGCCAAAATATTACGATTATAATCTCTCAAAAACCAAAGAAAGATGGATATACCACTTTCCGCAAAGTGCGCGGGATCACACTCAACTAAAAAAAATTCAGTGGCCATTAACTATGATGTAGTAAAAGAAATTTTGACCAGCCAATCAAACTTTGTGAAAGTGTTTGACGAGCATAAAAATGTCGCAACATGTTAGGTTGTCGTATACTCACAAAGACCAAAGAATATAGAATGGTGTCTGACGACTGCACCATTCGTCCATATGGCGTGTAGATAAAACAATGTAAAATGTAATTTATGGTTTAATTCAATAATATTTTATTACATTTTAATATTAGTCTGTTATCTTTACTTCACAGTAAGGATGAGTGTCATGTATCTCTTTGTTACCGGTTCAGCGAAAATATACTATATCAACTTATAGCATTACAGAATTATTTATTTGTTTAAATCATTATTTCAGTTCACCACCAATTATATATCCAGACAGTTTGACATCCATTTGTTCAGTTCAGTTGCAAATTGATTACACACTTCTAAAAGAATTAGTGTCAGAGTACTCAGGTGTCGGTGATAAAAAGTTTCACTGTTGGTCAAACAGCTGAGAGATAAAGACAATGATAAAATCATGTTCTCTTGATAGGAAAGCCAGGGGTTGGATAAGGTCACCCTGAAAGAGCGATAAGAACACCGGCTACATGAATTTATTTGAGACGTCTCTTTGGGGCAATGGCGGCCTACAGGGAAGTCAGGAAGACAAATATTTGCTTAATTTTTTCTTCCATTTATACAATACTATTTGCCGTCCATGGAGTACAAACCCAAGTGAGTAACACTACTGACACAAGGTCAGACTTTTTATATCATGTTAAGCCAATGTGACGTCGGTACAATTTGATGTTACAGTCAAGATATTAATGCAAAATTGCCTGAAACCTGACAGGTCGGTCCACCTGGACATCAGATGCCGATCAACATGAGTGACCCACACCTGCACGCATCGGTGGATGCAGTTGTTGATGTTATCAATCGAGATCGAGGCTTTGCTGAAAACCTCCAAAGACAAATTTGCCAGACCATAGAAAACGGGACAATGCAAGTTAGTTGACATTTTAAAGATTTACACAAGTATCCTGCAAACAGCAGCATGCATTCAATTCATTTCATTACTGTACGATATGCATATCCGGCATAACAATGAGCCTAACATACTACAATAATACATTTTATTAGGTGTATACAATATGTATGATGTTGTGGATAATTGTTTTTATTTCTGAAAGGTTTCATATAAGCATACCTGAACATAAAGCTCAAAACACTTTCGTTTAGACACACCCTCATATCAGTTAACGTTGTTTTCCTCCTCCTACTCCTGATCATCGACAGCAGCTATACCTATACTGCCACCATCACCACCACCATCATCATGATGACATCAACACATCATTAGCATTAACCTGAAAGATTCTAACCAAGAGGCAAGACACGACATTTCAGAGTTGAATTTTCTGTATGCTATGAAAAAAATGTACTTAAGTTTCACTTTCAGAGTTAGAAATGATCCCAGATAGTATCATCTTGATGTACTTGCTTGTTATGGCGGGAGTCTCTTAATTTTAAAAAACTTAAGTTCAGAATTTTTTAGTGATATGAAAAAACCACATACTATATGTTTTACAAATCCTTATTCTTAATATAAAGTTCTCCCTTAATTATGAGAGTATTTTGCTGTTTATCGAACATAGAATATCTTTGAGAAGGTTTCCCTGCTCGTCGACCAACTCACAGATAACGAAAATTATAAAATCATTTTCTATTTCAAGGTTTTGTCGTTTGTTCTTGAATATAGCAATGTTAACCAGTAGATCAGAGAGGGTCAGTCCCTGCTATAAAACGATGTTAACTGGTAGATCAGAGAGGGTCAGTCCCTGCTATAAAGCGATGTTAACTGGTAGAGCAGAGTGGGTCAGCCTGAGCTATACAGCAATGTTAACTGGTAGAGCAGAGTGGGTCAGCCTGCGCTATACAGCAATGTTAACTGTTAGAGCAGAGTGGGTCAGCCTGAGCTATACAGCAATGTTAACTGGTAGAGCAGAGTGGGTCAGCCTATACAGAATGTTTACTGGTAGAGCAGAGTACAGCGTTGTTAACTGGTAGATGAGAGAGGGTCAGTCCCTGCTATACAGCAATGTTAACTGTTAGAGCAGAGTGGGTCAGCCTGAGCTATACAGCAATGTTAACTGGTAGAGCAGAGTGGGTCAGCCTGAGATCTACAGCGTTGTTAACTCATAGATGAGAGAGGGTCAATCCCTGCTATACAGCAATGTTAACTGTTAGAGCAGAGTGGGTCAGCCTGAGCTATACAGCAATGTTAACTGGTAGAGCAGAGTGGGTCAGCCTGAGCTATACAGCAATGTTAACTGGTAGAGCAGAGTGGGTCAGTCTGAGCTATACAGCAATGTTTACTGGTAGAGCAGAGTGGGTCAGCCTGAGCTATACAGCAATGTTTACTGGTAGAGCAGAGTGGGTCAGTCTGAGCTATACAGCAATGTTAACTGGTAGAGCAGAGTGGGTCAGCCTGAGCTCTACAGCGTTGTTAACTGGTAGATGAGAGAGGGTCAGTCCCTGCTATACAGCAATGTTAACTGTTAGAGCAGAGTGGGTCAGCCTGACCTATACAGCAATGTTTACTGGTAGAGCAGAGTGGGTCAGCCTGAGCTATACAGCAATGTTAACTGGTAGAGCAGAGTGGGTCAGCCTGAGCTATACAGCGTTGTTAACTGGTAGATGAGAGAGGGTCAGTCCCTGCTATACAGCAATGTTAACTGTTAGAGCAGAGTGGGTCAGCCTGAGCTATACAGCGTTGTTAACTGGTAGATGAGAGAGGGTCAGTCCCTGCTATACAGCAATGTTAACTGTTAGAGCAGAGTGGGTCAGCCTGAGCTATACAGCAATGTTAACTGGTAGAGCAGAGTGGGTCAGCCTGATCTATACAGCAATGTTTACTGGTAGAGCAGAGTGGGTCAGCCTGAGCTATACAGCAATGTTTACTGGTAGAGCAGAGTGGGTCAGTCTGAGCTATACAGCAATGTTAACTGGTAGAGCAGAGTGGGTCAGTCTGAGCTATACAGCAATGTTAACTGGTAGAGCAGAGTGGGTCAGCCTGAGCTATACAGCAATGTTAACTGGTAGAGCAGAGTGGGTCAGCCTGAGCTATACAGCAATGTTTACTGGTAGAGCAGAGTGGGTCAGCCTGAGCTATACAGCAATGTTAACTGGTAGAGCAGAGTGGGTCAGCCTGAGCTATACAGCAATGTTAACTGGTAGAGCAGAGTGGGTCAGCCTGAGCTATACAGCAATGTTAACTGGTAGAGCAGAGTGGGTCAGCCTGAGCTATACAGCGTTGTTAACTGGTAGATGAGAGAGGGTCAGTCCCTGCTATACAGCAATGTTAACTGGTAGAGCAGAGTGGGTCAGCCTGAGCTATACAGCGTTGTTAACTGGTAGATGAGAGAGGGTCAGTCCCTGCTATACAGCAATGCTAACTGGTAGATCAGAGAGGATCACTCCGTGCTCATAGAATTAATCCTTTTGTTTTAAATTATCTAATTGTTGACACTAATCCATTATCTTTTTGAATGGTCTCTCGAATATAAAGATCAATTAAAACTGTACACACGAATTAAGATCGTCAAAACAAAATGGCTACTCCCGTTTGATTTTATTCTCCACATTTCTGCGTTTATATATGTCACAATGTAACTATTCTGACTTGTATGGCGTTTCAGGAGAGATTTTATGAGACTTGGAGATTTTAATTTGGGTGTAATTTGATTAGGTCGTCGATGGGGAGCTTTTCAGACTCCGTTTAATATTAGCCGATTCTGTCTGTACGAACGCAGAAGCCAATGAAAACAAAACGTCCAGTGATTGTCCAGTACTGTCACCAGGGAAGGTTGGTAAAACTTTATCATTTAATTGATTCAATCATTTACTTTTTAAAATAATTAAAGGTTAAAATAAAAGAGATAACCTTGCGGTAACACAGGACAATATCAAGTTAGCTGTACAGTGTTTTGCACACGTACACCTTTTTGATAACCTGACAACTCACTGATTACAATACTATATATCCTAATATGTATCACTCGACACAAAATTTAGTCATTGTTCTGTATCATTTTTTTTATTTTGAAATGTAAAGAGAAAACGTTGTCAGACTGCCGTTCTTTACAATACCTGGGAAGATCCGGGGATAGACGTTCTCTCCTATGACTGTGAAGATATACAGGTAAGTAACTTACACACCAAAAAACAAATAAAGTTTTTTTTTATAGAAACAAAAACATAAAAACTACAAATTATGACAATATAATTTACAGTTTTTCCATATATAATATATTACTAAAACGGATTCTATATAAAACTGAACCAAAACATCAAGCATTCTGTCCAACTTGCTGAAAGCTTGGATAGAATTAACCAGTGGTTAGTGAAAATGTAGAATTGTTGATGCAGGTCGGATTGGTATTATTTGAATGTGAATTTTACCGTGCAAGTCCTTGTTACCCTAACCGCTGACTGACTCTAATTGAACTTTCAGTAACTGGGACCTGGCCAACTAAGTTTTCCATTAAGTCTAGGATTTCTAAAGTTTTAGGTTTTTTTCCATTCAGTGGTATGAAATTAAATTCTTTTTAAGTAGATAAATTTTAAGAATGTGTTGAGATCATATGATAATGTTTCCACTAGCCCACTCCACCTGGCGAGGAAATGCCAATCAACAAGAGCGACCCAGGTGTAGCGATGTCTGTCCACGCTGTGGTCATCAAGGTCAATAATAAACGAGGTTATGCCGACATGATCACCCGGGTTTCCTCTGGCGGGAAAACCGAGGGTACCGTCCAGGTAGGTCATATCATTTACCAACAAAGTAATTAACTTTAATCTTAATGTAGCAGTAACTCTATCTTAAGGGGGAAACTTTCCAGGGAAGTGACATAATTCACTGTATATGTGTACACTGTTTCACCAGGATTGGAAATCAAACTCACGACAGACTTCTACATCAGCTGTTTATCTTGACCTACTCCTTCAATGAAACAAACATGGTTAGCATTCCATCAAGCGGTATGATAAACGTGATAATTTTAATATCCCTATTGTGAATATTCGGGAAGCCTGGATTGCAAATTTCTGCATCCCCAACCTATCGTGTTTACATGTCGCAGTTAATTCGGTATTCAAGGGCATGTTCCCATTATCACGATTTCGTGCAAAAAACCGCAAAACCTAATGACAAACTATTATTACAGGATTTCAAACATGCAGTTTGTGCGTAAGAAGCTGGACGTGTTTAATGCTCGGTAATTTGCCTGTTAGTTACTTTGTTGCATACCTCATTTTAGAAAGTGACATTATGGGGTGGCCAAGATTTACATGGTGTACTCTTCCGCAACACCTCTTCTTACTCTCTTTGTACTTTTTCAGGAATGTCCGTGAACATTGTTATTTATGTTCATATTTTACCCTAGTTTTATGGAGTTTGAGTATCAATAATAGTTATGTTGATATGTTGGTATTTTCTTGAATGTTTATTCTGTCAAGATAGGCTACATTAAGCTGACTTAAAAAAAAGAAATTGCTCTGGTAAATAAGATAATTATTACTGTCACTAGGAAGGATGTCCAGATAAACGAGCGGCGGAAGAAAAATGACATGATATTTCTCTATGGTGGATGTTGATGACGACACTGATCACTGTATTGACATATATCTCGTTGTAGATAACTGATGGAAATGTATACCGTCTACAGTTTACGATCGGAGATTCTGTATGTAATAATAGTATAGTCAACTGGAACGCCAGCTCCACAGACTGTCCGCTGCTGCGCCCAGAAATGAAGGTGAAATAAGAAGATATCAATTTCTGTTGTATCGGCCTCGAACAACGTCATGTCATGTTTATAGAATTTAATTATTTTGTATGGAAACATCGTAACATGATATTTCATGGTTGTTCTCTCTGAATGTGTCAAGTGGGATATTGTCCGTCTATTTTGCCTATTTTTACACTATATACAATAGCCATTTTTATCCATCATCACAATGTTTAATCAGAATAATATCAATATTTTTTTAAAATTTTTACACGATTTTAGCAGCGGAACTGCAATGCGACAGTGATTTATAAACACTGGGAACTCCCACTGGTCAATGTGACGGAATATAGCTGTGAGGTAAATCTTGAACATTACAAACTGATTTCTTGCTAAATGATGAACAAGAAGCAGCTAAATACAATAAAAAGAATGCAAAAAAAAAAAACAAAAAAAAAAAACAAAAAACAAACACAAAAAACAAAAGCATTTTTGATGTTATGTGATATACATTGAGTTATGGGTCAAGTAATTTCCTTTTAACACATAGGAAAAAATCACTAAAAAAGGGCGCAATAAGTAATTAATATCCTAATATCTGTATACAGCAGAAAAAGCTTGTTCAACCATTCAACGTAATTTTTTCACGAACAGTTTCACAAAGCATTTTTACAGTAAATAAGTTAACCTATTATCGTGTTTATAGGTTGGTAATTCACATGTTCCTTATTATTTGTCATCTGGATTGTGGTGTTCTTACACTTTATTAATAAATTAACAAGTCGTTGAGAAGCTATAATTAGATCCATCATAATTAAGAACATATGCAGGGATGAAACATTTGAGGTTCGATATATTTATTTATGCTTTTTGACTTCTGTAGTTCATTAGAGATAATTAGAAGTTTGATTCGGCCTTTAGTGTTTTGTACTTGTGATAAACTCTGTGCAACCCCGTAAAACATAATAACGATTTACTATTGATAAATGGCAACACTGTTAACCAGAACTGCAGTATCTATTAATGAATCTAACAAATGGATGTATACATAAATAAAAAATCGCATACTTTTCAATCCTATTTCAGTCTCCTCCCCCCGGGGATCAACGTCCTATTTCAAAGAACAGTACTGACGTTATCCAGTCAGCGGAAGCTGCTATATCCATCATTAACTATGACAGAGGCTACTCGAATGACACCTTCCGGCGGATTCTGTACAGCATAGAAGGCGGCACAGTGCAGGTAAATTAGAGAAGTTATACAAGAGGTTCCTGTAAACAACGGTTCACATATCGTGCGAGGATAAATATGGTCATATACGTCTATTTTCAGTATGGTAAATAGTAGTGTTATGTATCAATCATTCTAAGTATATAAACGTTGACAGAGAAAAAGTAATTCTTACCAAAGTACTTTTTTGTACCATACAATTACTGGAAAAAGTGATGTGATGTTGTTTGGTATTAAAAATTAATCGAAAAAACATATCAGTAAGGTTAAAAAATGAAGGCAATTTGTTGATCTGTGTCACATTAATAATAAAGGTTTTAGAGTTTGACATGGTCGCATTTATGCTGATTAGTTTGTATGAAGGCAGATGTTGTCGTATGAAGCAGAAGACACCTACTCCCATGGAACACATAATCTTGTTTTCGTAGTACATTTCATGAAGTATCCTTGTAAATTTTTTAGTTAAGATTTTGTCCTAGTTTCATCGAATTTTATTTGGAAATAAGTTTCTGTAGACATGAGCGTGTTTTCTGTGTATTTATACAGGGACAATGATATTTTGTGATGTCTGGGATGTAAAACTTAATGAAAAACTCCCATGTATTTCCTCCTCTACCAGCAGAACACGAATCAGTTTGAAGTTGAATAATCAATCTGTTGTTATTAACAGGTTACCGATGGCGAACTATTCAGACTGCTTTTTACTATTGCCGACTCTGACTGTAAAAACATAGAAAAGAACTTTAACGCCACATCTGCTGTGTGTCCAATACCTTCGAGCCGCCTGCCTGTGAGTACGTCCTTGGTTTGGCAGATTTCATGTCTAATTTCGTTTAGTATAGCAAAGATTGTACAAAAGTGACGCACAACTGAACATCACCTTTCAATGCAAATTCAGAGTTACATAACGTAGAGCCAAACATTGAATTAAACTACACCATACAGCTGTTTCATCCTTCTAGGACTCGTCGATGATTCTAAGGGCCTGAAATTTGTAGCCTCAGAGGCGATTGAAGAAAATCTCAAGTGATCGAGAGAGAAGTTAAAACAGATCTGTAGCATCTTATTAGACCGCATTACTTATACACAATGCTCAATAAGCCCGGTGAACGTTTCTCCTGTTTCTTGTGGAATTTCAGTTAAATAACTAGCTTAGCCAATATAGACTACCATGAAAACAAACTCTGTGATGTGCTATCCTTCTATCTGGTGTTTAGATTATACATATCGATGTTCAGAAAATTGTTAGGACCATTACATGCACATCAGTGACAGTAGTGTTTGATTACTGACAAATGATAAATTAATGATAAATGATAATTAACGATATTTTCGTTTAATGAAATTTCATCTTAAGATAGTATGACAATAATCTTTAACAGTCTAATCCACGATGGAAAGGTCCTTGCAGCCCTTTTGTTTTGACACGACTTAGAAGTCAGAGTGACCTACATATCAAATCAATGCGAGATTCGTCAAGTGGTTTTTTTTTCAGGCAACACCGATAACAAAATTCCATTGAAAAATCTACGACGACTGCTTACTGACTATTTTGTTTTTCTGATCAGAACAGAAATAAAAAAAGCACAACTAGAGACCAATGGAACATTCAAGTGAAATTTGAGAAAGGTCCAACAAGTCCTTCTTAAGAAATTACGGTAACAATTTCTCAAAGTCAAGATTGAGGTGGTCACCTCTAAGGCAGTTTTGTTGATTAGTACAATGATCAAAAAGGCTTACCTAGGGATCAAGGGAAAACCTCCATATGGCATTGGAAAAAACCTGATATTGCTATCTGTCAGCAATTATATTTTTGTTTGTTATTACTTATCAGTCCCACTATCAAAACCACACAACAAAGGACTAATTTTTAGATGGACACTTGTCTGACACGGTTTTTTTATTTGACCAGCCCAAATATCAACAGTGCACAACTAGGGGATAAGGGTTATCTTAATGTGAAATCTAGGAAAGATCGGTTACAAGAATAGTTTAAGGGTGAACTCTAGGCGATCTGATCTAATAATGAGGACTTAAACAATATTGTGAGTAGTTTCATAGCGCGTGGCAGCTGTCTTTCCCTACTACTTGTGAGATAAGATTATCTCGCTTGTTTTGTACCTATTCAACAATGTCTTTCTGGCGCATAAGCGCAAAGATGGGTGGTAAATTAATCGAATTAAAGAATTTGGAAATGAAAGGTATTGAGAAATGTTTATACAATTTGGAGGCAATATTGACGTCACCTTAAATAATATTTTGTTACAGATTGTCAGTCCTACGGGAAACAAATTCTAAGAATCGTTTACCTTATCCAAACCATATCATCTTCTTTAGTATGTGAGAAACTCTTTTCAAAGATAGAAAATATCGTGGGGGGGACCTCGTCAAATACCCGTCCCCTCCCATCCACAACTAATAAAGATTAGTTAGGCCTTGAGTTTAGATATCCATATTTAATCTCAGGCGAAAATCTAGTTTCAATAACATCTGACAGACCATTGACTGCTATTAATATCATACCTACCAGATATCTGTGGAAACCCAAAACACTATGGTGGTATTGCCGATATGGTGTTTTTAAAAAAATATCCTAGTTCCTGACACCATCGTAAAAAATAGTGATTAATTACAAGTACCATATCTGACTACATACTTTAAGATTATGATAAACTTGACTATGATGTATTATACATCAACGATTCATACTATGATCATTATTTACAAGGAACAACACTTTGTAATATATTGTGTTATAGCAAACACTTTATTTATTATACTCTTATATACAACATTAAGCCTGTTACAATGTTGCATCAATTTATATCATAAACAATATTGAGGTACTTTTTGTTGATATTTCAGGTACAAAGATGTGAATCTGAAGTCTTGGACAGAAACTGGCTGCCGAACCGTTGGCTCATACAGAAATACAAATGTTTTAATATACCGGTAATATTTTAGCGAGCTAAGCAAGCTCTAAAGATAACAAATGCAAAGAAAAAATTTTTTTCACTCATTCTATCAGTCGTAATATTGTGAGAAGGAGTGGAAAGTCCCAGTATTGCTTTGGCCATTGACCGATAGCACCATGGCGACCATGACAGCTATGTCCCTAGGACTCCTAGAAGTGATAATTCTTTCGGAGCACCTCGCCCCGATTTGTTTTGTATTTTTCACCTATCAAATAGAAAACCCTACGGTCGCTATGACATTATTCCTATTAACGAGATGACATAAATCTGTATGTAAAATGACTACTTAGTATTGGAATGACATTGATCTATGTGTTAGTTAATCGCTGCTTTGTTCCCGATACAATGTATGTTGTGAATTGGTGGTCTTGTCATTTATATAGAATGCGTAGTCAATGTCTTAAAATATTAGCTGTGTTCGAGTGAGGTTGAAGGAAGACAAAAGAGAATCGCCACTTTTGTCTTTCTGTCTCTAGCCAAAATGAAGCGTGTATATCTAAGGACACTGATTATGTATTCTGTTTTTCCTGAAACATTGGTTGAAAACAAAACCATTAAAAATTCAACAGCTTTGTTGTTCAAACTTAACGTTAACGTTTCGCTGAATTTTGCTTGGTAATTTTGTCAAAGCAATTGCTCTGCGCAGAAATATAGTTCCAAATCTCAACTGATATGACAACGGTTTTCTGAATTTTCGTAAAAACATTTGTTCTATTCAACATATGGAATCAAAATGTATGTTTGTTCTGAAACGAAATTTAAAACCAGATGTATTCGTCACTGCCGAATGCAGCAAAATTATATGTACCAGGTTTATTCCGACAATGACAGCACCATTTGCAGGATAAAAACCTATACATTATTATTTTTCAAAAGTATATGTTTATAGTTATAGAAAAAACATGGTAGTTGTGGTTTAAGATGTAACTTCTAACTGCCGAACTTTGACATTTGTTGGTTGGTTTGACATTTTTAAATCAATTATTTCATTACGCTGTGTTTATTAGAATAGAAACACACTAGATTAGTTACAGCTCTTTCTTAGTGCCAACTCGTTTTTCTTTGTCTTGGAAACAACTTATTTACAGCGTTTGTTTATCAACATATTAACCATTATGGACTGCACTTAGCTATTATCAAACACATCTACTCGATAGATCGCCCGGGACATTGGTATCCCGTAATTGAATGTAATTACAGACAGCTTTAGGTCTGGTTTTCTGTAAGAATCCTCATAAAGTTTCCTGAAGCGGTTTAAATACAATTCGTGAGGTTTAGTGATTGCACTGATGTTTTCAATGTGAAACAATTCATTTTCAGTCTGATTTAGTATTGTATTAATGTGAATAACTTTATAAGGAAAGTCAGTTCTAAATTAAGATAATTCGAGAACACATTATTTAAATACCTGCTTCTATTTTGTAATTAAAATGAATTCATGGCATATAAATAAATCCCAGAAGTTAAACAAAATATCATGCAATTATATATTGTTCGAAACAATAACACAAAATTGTACTTTGAATAAAATATTATGATATTTCGATAATTTATGGATTTATTCCTTGGTAACGATTAAGTTCCAAGCTTGTCAAGGACATGTTCTATGTAGCAAGACAGACGGATGGTCAATAATTATAATGAAACTAATACCATTGGTTGACAAACAATTTTTCTCCACACAAGGGCCGCTAGAGAAGCATAAACTTTAAATTCTTTCAAATGAAAATTGATATGGCTACTTTTAAGATTTTTTTTATCATTAAGTCTATTTTCATCACACAGCCTCCGCCGTTACCACCATCCCCGTCTTCAGTAAGACCGATCAATAAAGATGACCCAGGTGTCATCGCTTCGGTCGATGCAGCGGTCAACAAGATCAACGAGGTTCGTGGGTACGCGGATATCATCACCAGAGAGTCACTAGGAGAGGTCGTTGATGGAACTGTCGAGGTAGAGACATGGGCCGCTTTTAAGTATGATATGAAATGGAACTATAATTATACGGTATTTGAACATAATGGCGATAACTACTAAAATCATATGGTATTTCGACAAAACAGCAAAATCGACTAATAAGACCATACGGTATCCCAACACAATAGCGATAAGCACTACTAAAATCATAGGTAAATAACTAAAATCAATATTATATCGTATTTCAACACAAGGGTGATAACTACTAACATCATACAGTATTTCAATACAGCGGTAATAACTACTAAAATCATACTGTTTTTCAACACAACGGCGTTAACTGTTGAAATAATACGGCATTTCAACACAACGGCGATAACTGTTGAAATAATACGGCATTTCAACACAACGGCGATTTGTCAATTCTGCTTTTACGTTATCTGTTATATTAGAAAGGAATGCGAACTCCTCTTGTAGTAAACGAAATATAAAACCAACTCTCGTGTAGATTTCCGTGATATCTAAGCACGAACTTGAACTAGTGTTACATGGAATGATTTGTGAATGTTGGATAATTTTTCTGTCTTTACATTATGAACGTTTATTTGATTTTGATGATGTAAAGACATGTTACGTCATGAATGGAAATTCTCGCAAGAATATGGTAACCCCATCTTAATTTTCGTCCATAATTTGACTTTAAAATAAAAATATAATTTTTTTCGCAATATCTCATTAAAAAATCTTAAATATGTTTTCATATCATATATGATTTTATGAAACTTGAGGTTTTACCTTTTTTGTTGAAGGGGGGCAAAATAAATAAATAAGACCCCTTGCATAAAATTTCGCAATATTTCAAAAACAATACTCAGGTAATTCGTTGCTCTTTCGTACGCAAGCCACACGGTAGCGGTTTCAGCTTCTATATTAGCTTTAGTTTTTACAATCTATCAATAGACATTAATAAACACAAACTCACATAATATACAAGTTCGCATACTGCACACACAAAACGCGTTCATAATTAGCATAACATACATTGCCACATTCATTCATCATTAGTTTCACTCCATACACACAAACGCAATTTTATCCTTTCTTCTTTTAGACGCTAACGTTAAATATTTACCTATATGGCTTAATTCTTTAGTATTTCAACATTTATAAGTTGTATGAACTTAAACATGCTTGGACGATTGGTATAAAAGGCCCGGTAACTTTCGATGAATATCTGAATAAAATGGACACTTGATTACATTTGGTACTCTTCTTCGTTTTCTCGATTATTACAAAATATACATAGTCTGTTATTTCTGTCAATATTGCTGTATCTTCCCCTTGCGATCTCAAAGTCGTGTGTTGCGACGAGCACTGTTAGATGTTAAATATTCTGAATTTTTTCCTGATTTTGTAGGACATGGTAGATGAAGGCCACATTTACCGACTCAACTTTACTATTGGTAATTCATTATGCAATAACAGCATCTACAATGCCAACGCCACCTCCAAGGATTGTCCACTCATACGTACTGACCACGGGGTAGGGCTTTTTAAATATAACTTTACATCTTAATCGGTTATAACTCTCCGCCAAGGTAAATTCCTACTAATAGGGAAAGGGAGCTTGTGTTAATCACGTGTGTGTTGCTATGTGTTTATGACAGGATTTGAAACCCAGGTTAGAATTCTGGTGTTGGTCATTTCTTTCGATCCGATAAGGGTGTCTTATTCCCTTAATTTAGGAGTGAACAAATCTGCTAAAAATATGTCACGTAGTGTATTTGCATTTCTAATATTGTCCTGATAAACAAATACATCTACAACTAGTCTTTATGTTTTATTAAAGGCTAACTTTGGTAGAAAAAATCATCCGAGAATAGAATATCTGACGATGGTGAATGTCGATTTGTAATTCGATTTAAGTACATGTGTATAACGACAAGCACTGAGCATACTTTTTTGTATAATACACATTCATTCAAAAATGTAAAAACATTGATAGTGTCGTTATTGTCAAGGAAAATTTATATGGCATTTTATATGTACAATTACAATAAATGGCACACAATTTGAGTGTAACAATCAGCTCTTCTGATATAAAAGCGTTCAGCTTTCCAACGTGTACAACAAATGTTGCGAAAAGGAACCTGACACTAACTAACCTCTCCAAATAAGGTCTCGTTAACTAATTCTGTGAATATACAAAAACACCAGATAATATACCAACATGTCAATAAAATCATAACTGAAACATAATTTAACAAAATATTTACAGAGAGATCCATAACGAAGTACCAACGAGAATAAGACCAGATGTTAAGTTTCTAGATATTCCCTTCGGTCGATTGAGAAAAAAAAAATCTTTAATCACTTATACACGCCTAGTGGCTATCGTGTACACCGTACTGAATTTATTGTTTTTGTTTCTGTATCACCACCTTTCGAACACCACTTAAAGGTGACTTTTTGCACATTAAAAGGGTCCTCAGTTTTCGTCGGCCGAAGAGCTTATCGGGACTCTCTCTATACATTACTTCATTGATCTTATATCTGCGCGTAACATCACTCTTTTTCCCCTAAAAATATGTCATTTCGAAACAATTTTCCTATTGTTGTTGTAATATATCCAAAGTCAAGTATTTAGATATTAAGGTAATGTGTATATTGTTCCACAGCTCCACTCCTGTAACACGTCTGTTATCTACCTAAACCGAGAAACTACCACCACCATTGCTATCATATCATACTATTGCGAGGTATGTATACAAGCTATCACTTACATAACAATTAATTATTCTTTAAAAATAGAAAATAACAGCATGTCAACATAATCATAATTAAAACAAAAAATCAATGAAACTATGGCAAAATATGAACAAAAGAAAGATTTACATGAAGACTTGTGAACAAGTACAAGGATAATAAGCCTTCTGCTTCATTGACGACATCCGTTATGTAAATCTTGGTAAATCCAAGTAAAACATGTCACATTGTGATATGAGAACAAGGTTTACAGCAACGGAACAAGCAGGCAAACTAACGTTCATCAAACACGCCCATCTTCATATCACACAAAGAAATGGGATATTTTTCAATAAGATCAATATGACAAACGTAAACCTTCCCCATAGCTTTCATCAACCTGCTATGTGAAGATATCACAAAGACAAAAGATCTCCTGTTATTGGCTGTATTAAGATGGGTAGATTACTAATGTTTTCTTGTATGTATTGAGGCGCCACCTGGGGACGAACGACTCATTAATAAATCTGATCCTGTTGTGGCTGAAGCTGCTGACGAAGCCGTGAATGTCATCAACTGGGACCGTGGATATTCTGATAACATTCGACGCTTGACTCTATATCAAGTCGAGGCTGGCACGGTCAAGGTACGTTGTTGACAATACGATCTATATAGCTGAATACCGAATCTTTTAAGGATAATCCAACTGTGTGCATTAAAACTGAACATGTTTAGATTGCGATCGGGTACTCAGATGAAATCGTTCTTAGTTTTTACTTATATAAGTTTTTATAAGAGTTTTTTAGATGTTAGAACTACAGTGATGTTTTCTTCTTAACTCATTCTATAACGCTGATGGGAAACGTGTATAGTTATAGATTCTTTGGCTATTTTGAGCCTATTTAGCGAATGAGAAAATCCTTCATTTTGTAGTTGGGTGGAATGTACATCATTTAGCTTAATAATTCGAAACATATTTGAGTGTGAAATATTTGTTTTGACTTGAGATTTTAGTAATATTTTCTTGAACCTATTATGATATTTTCCATTTAGGAAACAGCTGTGGACATGAATATGAGGTCGCTGTTAGATTTAATAGTATACTGGTACCATCGTTGTTTCTTAGTTGAGTAACCAGTGTGAACATTTGTAAGATTGGCACAATTCAGTCGTTGGCATCGCAGCATTGTTCAATACAAATTTAGATTAAGCTACAATGTAATCAAATAATGAATAAAAATTCATCTTACAACTGTTTCGACATGCTAGGACTAGTTCAATGTTTCAAATTATTAAATTCCATTTACCGATGCTAATCACCTGTTAACCTATTGTACAATATTAAGGGTAACACTTTTTTGGAACGATTAGTATAGGTAAACAGACCTGTGCTCATTGAAATGTTTGGTTAGAAATGCGACACCATAAAACATCAGAAATTATGTCATTTGTATTTTGTGACAGATCGTGAGCGGAGAGATGTACAAATTAATATTCACGCTGTCAAACTCTGTCTGTAAAAACACCGAAGATAACGCTAACGCCACGGAGAAACAATGCCCTGCAGAACCAGGACTACAAGGATTACCGGTAAATTAAACTGTGAAGGTCTATACACGTTATACACCTTCAGTTACTACTGTCAGAAAACAGTTATATATAATTCGTGGTGTAAGATAGGGATATTCCATAAAATGTAGGAAAACCCAAGGCTTTGCCGTGAGAATTTTTCTCTTATTCTTATTGGGAAATAATAGCTTCAGAGTCTACAATGTACCAAAAAGTACGCCGCCATCTGATACAGAAATCACATTTCTATTATGCCATTATTATCAACAGTCGCTGCAAATAAGTATATGTACACAAATGTATATATATATTGTATAATAACGTCTTTTCTGCGCGCGTGCATGTATTACATTGGTGTGTGTGAAATGCACGAACAGTGAACCTGGGTGTATTGTACCAGACAGACAAGAATTACACTGGTAGAAATGCGACATAACATCAATTAAAGGTCAAATTAAGAGCACAAATTATGTCAACTGGTTCATAACGTGCTTTATAAAATACTCAATTTACTATATAAAGCCATAAGAACAAGAGTAAATATTCCCAAAGATATATCGCAATCTGAAGTAACCAAAATTCGTTGCTTCTTCTGAATGTCTGTATTAGAAATCTTTGAGTACAAAAACAAAAAAAAAAAAAATTTGTAAACGTTTGGTTCCAATTTGAGATTTTCAAATTGGAGACATTTTATAATTCAAAGCTATTATTGTGATGTTAACGTGGACGAATCATTTTATTGAGCACTCAATGAAAATATCAAGCTCTTAATAATAAAAGTATTGAGTACCTAAATTGGATTTCCTAGGCGTAATATTTTGACAAAACACTTAAAGACTAGTACGCCTTATGATGGATGTAGTTATATGATTCGGACTGATTATTACATATATTTTACCATAAACTGATATATCTTATATTCAGAATACTGAATACTGCAAAATCAGTATTATTTCCCCTGAGGTTTTGTCAGATTTCAGTTTCGTTATAATGCGTACGGATTTTCAAATTCTGACCACCGATGCTCGTTCTTATATCCACACTGTCTGCTTTAGGTACCCCTCTAAGGATTAAGTGTTACACAGAATCTATGACGTATACAGACATTTCTTAATTTTGATTCCGCAATACGCTTTATTGATAACATTCAAGTTGGTGTTCATTGTATGTGAAGGTATTGTGTATTTAAGGTACAACGATGCGAGTCGCAGATATATTACAAGCATTGGTTACCTCAGAAGGCGGATGTGATGGAACACAGCTGTGTTATTCTGCCGGTGAGATTTGTTCGTAGTGAAGCTATTAGTAATCTAAAAGCAGTTTGGTTATATTAAACACACTTTTGTATCCCAGTTTGCTACATACAGTTATGGTCTATTAAAAGTGGTAAATTGAATGCCTATAATGCTATGATGCACCGGAACTAGTTTATTGCACTCTATTGCTTTTTCAGAATTCTGACTTCTTGTAAATGGTTATTTTCTTCACAAACTATTATAATAAATGACTCAAAACAAAATATCTAGTATAAATTATCATTATGTTTTCATGAAACGATACCATTTATTCGCCCTTGGTACATACTTACATATATATATATATTTATTTTCCATTACATAACAAGCCGCCTACCGTGCCCCCTGGAGGCGCTAAAGAAATCAACAGAAGCGATCCAGGTGTGACGGAGTCTGTAAACACTGCAATAGAAGTGATCAATCAGGAGAGAGGCTATGCTGACATAATTATACGACAGACACTTGGAGAACTTGTGGATGGTACAGTGCAGGTATTGCAGCAATACTATATAGGCACGAAACTTTATTAATTAATAAATTCATACTAGTAAAATTAAATAAAAGTAATTCATTATTAACACGTGTCGATAGTAATTTCATTTAATGCTGGAATATATACTTTTATTGCTTGGGGGCATTTAGAAATAACGAATGTTAGGATTATAAATTTGATATGCATATTGGTGAAGTATTAAGAAAAGTTGCTTTCCGATAGAGATCCGTTTTGTAGACGTTCATAGTGAAGATTGATGCATCTAGGACTGATTGGAGATACTACACCTGGACAGTCATCGATTATATATGACACAATATGATAGAACATAATACAAATCTAATGTAAACATAAAGAAACATCAAAGAACTACCAGTATGTTAGGCTGAAACGTCAGCGACTCAATGAAAACCGTATAGGATTTTCAATGGCTAGGCAAAGGGGCAGGATTGATATTCAAGTAGTTTCATATATGGTAGTTGTAAAACCGAGAGCAATCGGACATTTCTAGATATTACGAAAATACTGTAAATGTACTTATATTGCTGCAGTCGACCGTATCACATAAGCTAATTTGAGTATAATAAAATACCAGCACGTGTGTAAATTTATTCACTTGCTTATATTTTGTGTATAGCCAGTACAGAAAAAATATAACGGAAAACCTTTCCCAAAAGCTTAAATTTACAAATACAAAGACTTACTCCTCTTGTCGCAATTGATGGTAATGTGTATGTGTCTGTTACATCTCGTTCTCGGATATTACTTTGATAGGCAACGTTTAAAGTTCAATCATTTCCACTGCCTTTTCAGTCAATGAAATATATTGATATTGATTCCAGTAGATTTGGAAATCGATGCTTTTCTACACATACATTTTATAGAGATCTATCAATAAAAACATACAATGATATCGAATATCGTTTAACGACGTAATGTCATTACAGTCAAGACAAAATGTAAGTAATTATTGTATATGTACACCAGGTAGTTGATGGCGAGCTGTATAGACTAGACTTTACCATAGGAAACTCTGAGTGTAATAACAGTATCGTCAACATCAATGCTACACCAGCGGAATGTCCACTTATTCCAGGAATGAAGGTATATATATATATCACATCAATATCAAACCACTAACAACCTGCCTGTAAAATGTTTAAAGCATTACTACCGACAATCATCAAATATATACTATTTCTGAAAAAAAGTATCTAATTGTTATCGATTCCAAATAGGCTTTTTGTGATTATTCGTTTCAAAATCCTGTGATATTTGAGGAAGTGTTATAAAATGTACTTTGAGGTATCATTTTGTTGTTTATATAATATGATGATTACATTATAACCTCACGCACGATCCATAATATATGAAATATTCTAGATGACTTTAAATTCTTCATTGAACCATGGCCTTTTGATTGTGATCTTTCTTTCTCGTGGAGAAAACAATTTTGCAGATATTAACACGTGTATTCTATTAAAAACAGTATATGTTATGTTTCTGTTGTATAGCAACGAGAATGTAACGCAACAGTGATTTATAAGCATTGGGAGACACCACGAAGTACGGTTCTATCGCACTTCTGTGAGGTAAGAGAAAATCAGTTGAAAAACAATATGTATAAAATAGTGGGTACATGTACATATGTGTTATATGAATATAGAACATGCATAGGCTATTTTAACGGAAAGTAAGTTTGTGATCAGGTCACTAATACAAAACTTATAAAAAAAGTCATGTGCTGTAACGTATTGTCATTGCACTATCAAAGAGTGCATCAGGCATGAAAATAAATGAGCGATTTTCTAGATAAAAGTAACAATATGTATTTGGGTATTTGGACACGTAATTCGTAACAATGTACGATTGCAATGCGAGTATATATTGCAATTTTCGTCTTCATATAGTTACATAAAAAATATGAATTTCAGTTTTCCCAGTAACTAGTTGATGATTACAATAAATATAAACACGACATTAAAATCAATGCACTCTCGTCAACCCGTACGTGATGCGCCCTGATATGACCATTCTATTGCAAGGACGGTAAAAGCCGCAGAATAAACAAACTACTTGCAAGAAACATATAGATATGAACATGAATAGACCCCGTTAATTGGGTCATAAATATACTTATTTTTGCATTTCCGACATGATATATATGTATATTGATATAACACAGGGACCTTCCCCGGGAGACCAAGTGATCATCAATAGAACCGACCCTGGCGTTAGTTTTTCTATTAACAGTGCCATAGCAGCTATCAACAAAAACCGAGGATACTCGAATAACACCTCCAGATGGTCCCTCTACAAACTTGAAGGTGGAACTGAGCAGGTAAATATTAATCAAAGTACTGAAAGTACTGAGAGGATAAATATTAAAATTGTTCATAACCGGATATACTTTCCCCATACTCCTACACTTTGGAATGCAAAAATTACTAAAATAAGAGAACCAGAGGCTATTTTCCTTAATTTTAAGCGATTTTATATCTTCTTTAATTCTTATTGCAAATTTGACTACAATAATGTGAACAAATCAAAATAGGTAAAAAAAAAAAAAAAAAAATAGCAAAATAAATACAACCATATATTTATTGCCAACAAGCCAAATGATAAATAGCTCTATGATGAAGTTGACTAAAAAAAACTTTTGAAATCCCCAAGATGTTGCAATTACTATCCTATCAATATGAGGATTTAGACAAATCGAAAGGACTTTATACCTACTTCTCTATTTTATATGTATTGCAAAGTAATAGTCCATACTTATTATAATTATATTTGTAGGTGAGGAAAGTAGATAAGGTGTACACGGCATTTCAGATAGATAAAAGTGTAAATAATTACATTAAATGTATTTACATGCCTATCTTCCTTGAAATATCATGGTTAGATTTTTCTTCCAGTAATTATGTCTATAAAGGCATAGTTCTATGTTAAATATATATATACAAAATTTACAATATTTTCACTGTAGCTACTACTATTTCTGATCTCCAATGCATTAGATAATGTCACCATGACACGAAAAATAACTAAATATGTTATGGAAATATTTCGTTCTAGTTAATTGATAATTATAAACATGAATATTTTGGTTCTTTATACCAGCTGTGTTTGAAGGAATATTTTCATTTCAAGGAACTTTGATACACATTAACAAACCTAGAAAAATCAGCACAATCAACCTTCATCAAATAAACTAAATGGCAAAAAATGTAAGTTATAACAAAGTCAACATCATGATCAGTACAGAATTAAAAATATATTATTCATAAATCATGAACACCAATTATACCTTGCTTACGAAGCGCAAACTTTTTATCTACAAAAACTTGAAAAAGTGTCATGGCGGTGGGTGTGAAAAACCTGAAAAATGTCATATCGGCGGGTACGCGCGTGGGACGAACAGTCCAATTTTGTGACGTCTAATGAGGTAAAGTGATGTTACATATTTAGACGATCTTGCCACAACGACAAGGATTAAAGCAAAATTGATGCTCTGTTTGTTTAGAAGTGCTGTTAGTTAATAATTCAAACCAAGGACCCAGACTAGCTTCTTATCAAGGCGCCAACTCGCACGTACAGTGTTCTGTACGCTTACGTCATGTCGAGAAGGATTCATAAGCCCCACCATACAGTAAATACACTGTAAATCAAGTCATGCAGTTACAATAAACTTTGAAGATACTAGAAACCATTTTTTGCTTACTTACGGCAGAGACGTATCTCTGCTTACGGTTAATATGGTTGTTTTTCTAGGAATATTCACAGCAGGCGATAAGAATCACGTCAGCTCGATCTTCTTCAACAGCACAGGTCGGGGATGTCCGTGAGCAAATTACGTAAAATATATTGTTCAAAATTTATCAATAGTTCAACCACACTGTGCTTCTTTTTTTAAATATATAGTAATCGTATTGTTATTAAAAAATTAAGCTTGTTGTGGATGCTTTTAAAATAGCGATAAAGATTTATTATTTACTTGCCGCTAGAGGGCTTATTTCAGCCAATGAGAAGGCTAGGATCGTTAAATTTTGTCTGAAAGGCCGTCGCAATAGGCTGTACGTACTAGAGTACGTTTAGCCTAAAAATGGATATAGCAAGAAAGCAATTGCAATTTCTTCAGATCGTACGAATATATTGAGAAGTTAAGATGATCTTTTTGCTGATGGTCGAAAGAAATAATGATAGTGTCCAGAGCCTCATGAGCAGAAAACGGGAAACAATCGTTAAATATTAAAAGCATGGTGGGTGATGTAATACAGTTCACCTTATTTCAACCCTGCATCTGGAATTAATGGAAGTGTATGTACTCTCAATCTTTGATATAGAAAGAATATGGGATATTCAGTTTAGATCCTGGTAAAGCAGTGCAAGCTGAAGTCATTACCGATTGTATGGATAATTCTAATGTTACTATAAAAAACGCATTTCTTGCTTATTCGTTATGGAAATGCACTATCGTTATGTCTTATGATTACTTACTGAATGGCAATTTAGTATTTACTCGTTATGTAGACAACAACAACAACAAAATAAGATGTCAGTATAAACTTAATTGAAACATCAAATCGATAAAGCAAAGGTAAATACCAACCAAACACAGACTTTCGAGTATAATAAGACCATGGGTTCAGGAAGGGTAAGCGTCTTGGGTTTCATTTACGACATCCGCTATCAAAAGGAAGTATGGAATCAAATACAAGAAGAAGTGTTAGTAATGTACTAAGAATACTTATATTCTATCAAGAAAACACGAATATGGGTTATTAGATTTAAAGACCATTCATTATTGAAATGTGGCTTTTTTGCCAGTAATGTTTTTTGGTATTGTATTAGATATTTATCAATTTCTATTAGAAGGGAACGTTATGCACGATGCTTAATTATGTACATTAAGTTTTTCCTTGTAATGTTTACCATGATACCGTCAACTTAACGAACATAACACATCAGTGTTAAATACTTAATTTTAGATTGTGGATGGCAGTGTATATCGACTGGCATTTACACTGTCTAACTCAGTGTGCCCAAATACAGAAGCAAATGGCAATGCTACGTCTTCAGAGTGTCCAGTGAAGAGTGGGGAACAGGGCCTTCCGGTAAGTGTTCGCATGTTTGCTGTGTTGACAAGCATTTGTACGCTGCACGATCGCGTATTAACTTAATGCATGATATAAACCTGAGTTGTCAGTATTCGTACGTGTTTGAAGGTGTTGCTAATAATAAAATGCTTGATAAGAAAGTGATTAATCACACGATTGTTACGTGAATGATAGAATATAGATCTTTATTTAGCCCTCTTGGGTGAGTAAACAGGAACATATCAAATATTCTCTCCGTATTTTGCTGCATTCACATTGAGCGCCATATTTAAAACGTGTACATGAAAGAAAAGTGTCAAATAACTAGACAACATTTTCCCCTTTTCTTCTGTGTAAGACGAAATATGTTTGGAGGTACTTAACAACCCTCTATTGGTGTGGGTGATATTGAAATAAATGTATTCAGCTTAACGATGGTTTATCGTAGAAATAAAAGTCTATTTTTTCTGAAGCAATCCATTTATCACATTTACGACGTTTTGTTACAGATCCAAAGATGCGACACAAAAACAATTTATCGTCGTTGGTTAGATAACCAGACAGATGTCATAGAACACGACTGTAACCCATTACCGGTAAGTATCGATCTTACTTACGTAGTTTGAATTATTGCAAACATCATTCATACTTACATTTTCCTTTAGTTCCAATACATAAACAGCAGGTACAATCCTGAATACTAGGAGTGGCTTGAACTTGTCTCTGTCATAAATGTTTCTCCATTAACGTGATGATATCTTAAGAGTTATTGCATACTTCGTCTGTAATTTGTATTGGATGTTGAGAGTTACATATACAACGTATTTCCTCAAATCGAGTTCCGTGCTGCTGTTTATAGACCATTCATATTTAACCAACTTTATTAGGAGGATAAGATATATGTACATAACCTATTTGAATAGAATGTTTAAGATCTTTTTTGTTCAACTACTTAATGAAAATCACACGTGATGTCTACAGCACACCCACAAAGTAGACGGTATTGTGAACCATACTCTTATGTTTCCGCTTTTAAAGTGTACCCTGAGAGGTCAGCTATGTTGACCTTGAAAAATAGTTCTGCACATAAAATATACTATGCCGAAAACACGAATGCCGTGGAATGTTCCGTTACTGAGAAATTGCGACTTTTCTGAAAAACACACCTTTGGCTGAGAGGCGTTGACCTCGTTTTCGGGCACCCAAACCTGTGACGTCATAAGTTCAACGCTTTTGTTGATGCAGCCATATTGTCTTTACTATGCTACATGTGATTGTGATCTATTTTGGGATTTTCCGTGGTAATTTCTTTGTTTATTTACGTGAAAGTACTTCACATCTTCGCAATATCTAAGGTAGTGAACGAGGGGTCGGTGAATTAGCGCTTAAATCCGCTAAAATGGCTTCCTATCGAGGAGGGAAGCGGTGTGTATGGTTGTCCTAACACTAACACGGATGGGGTGTCGATGCATGACGTCGATAAATAAAACTGATTGTTGATTAAATAAAAGTATATTTGTTAGGTTGATATTTTATTATTAATTCTACAACTAAACATTTTAAATTGATAGGCTAGCCTATGACTTGGGCGGTCATAGGAATATTATTCCTTCGTAATCGTGAACGCCTAATACTCGGAGAAGGCCTAGTCGTGAATGGGTCACGGGAATTTTCACACCGAGAATTTTCATACTACTATTATATAGTATAGAATAGAATTATTAGAATTTAAAGAATAGGTTATGTGTGTATGTTGTTTGTATAAGGTGTATTTGGTTTTTAGATCTTCCAGCAGACGATGTTGTTTAGTTATTAATTTTGCGATCGTAAAAATAACAATAAGATCACCAATCTTGATTTGAAAACACAGTTCACAGTGTAGAGATGTCATCTAAAACCATAATCACACCTGTGCCAGGTTAGGTAATTAGCACCTCTGTGGCTGGAAAAAACAATTGTGACACCTGTGAGGCGACACGCCTGTCGGCTAACAACAGACTCGTACCAGTGCAAGGGTAAAAACCAGTCAAATAATTGTTTAAACTTCTAAAACATCAAATTTTTATTATTAACACAGCGGAGGGTGTTATAATTGGTTGTAGACACCCTATCTATATATATCCATAGTGCTACGAAAATTCCCTGGAAAGAAAAATTCCCCTCGGACGAAACTTCTTCGGTAAGAAAATTCCCGACACCTCGTGAATGTATGCATAGTCTTGCACAAACGCGATTTCCCGACGTCAGAAATTGTTGATCGAGACTTGAAGATAGTAAAATAAGTCCAAAACCACACCCAATTTTATTTTGTTTCTTTGAAACGACGATTCACTGTTCGACTACTGTCACGACTACTGGTGAGACCCAGTGAAGTACGTGCCAATCTATGTTGCCCAAGCGATCGTCACTTTTCGAAGGGTCATTTTCCTCCTCACTGGATACATCGTCTTGTAATTCCAGTTCAGATCGGTAGGGCTGGATTCCGTCTGCAGACATATCATTCACACCATAATCAGACTCCTCAAAACTCATGCTCAAATCGCTCTCAGTTGCGGTGTCGTTGTCACTGTCAGTCATGTTGACTGCCATTTCTGTTGAACTTATGACGTCACGAGTAGAAGAGCCTCGATTCCGCGGAAATGACGATTCGGCTGATTAGGTCTGGGCGAACAGGTGAAAATCGACAACTTTGAGCTTTAATAACTCGACACTGGGGCGACGGATTTTGACGGGGTTTTCATTATTATTATTTTTACGGCATTCTTAACATTATATCTAAATATAAAATTACTCTCAGGGTACACTTTAACAGTTGTGTTGATGTCAATTCCAGTCAATGATGTGTATGATTCTCCGTAGATTCTCATTTTTACAAAACTTAACAAGCCTAAGAATATAATGTGCGACACTATAACTAGGATAATACGACCGCAAATCCAAGATAACATTCCTATCCCATGAACTTTCGTTAATGACTTAAATGAACATGATAGTTATGAAGAGGAATATGACCCCGAACGGCCGATGGAATATCACATCGTAATTTCCTGTGTACTACCTGCACATGAGGATAGTCTGCAGTTTTTAATACAGTGCCTTTTAAGCTTTTTGTAGAATTTGTTTCGTATAGGCCGCACCGGTAGAATGCAAGCTCATAATAATATTAATCCCTCAATTATTAGAGAATTATATAGATACACATGTGAAAGTATATGTATGTGTCTGTTCCGATCGCAGTGTAGTCAAACTTTTTGGCGCTGGATATACTTCCTTTGTGAGCAGCATCTATTATCTTCCATAACATAATGGAAAGACTTGATCCTGTCTCTTGAATACTTCATTAATAAAGAAATCGATCTTAAAGTTGTGATATCTCAGGTAGTTCTGGACTTGTTCCTGTCTCTTGAATACTGGATAAATTGGTCTTATTGTTATAATATCTTAGATCACTTATATTCCTAAATTTCACATGAAGGGGAGATAAGATACTAGATACTAGCATTTCCTGACAGGACATAAGGTCTTGGAGTCACCCGATTTAAGATACTGGGTGGTTTTCCTGACGTTAGAACGAAATAAAGTTGACGGTATATAACATACTTTAATGTAAAAGAAAACACTGTTAGTCAACCTCACCATGTAACTCACCACGGCATATCTAGACGTAAATCAACCTACTTAATCAAGCATTTCCTTGATATATGGCGTAGACAGCGTGTAAAATCCATTGACAGGAAATCGGAACAACTCTTTCCAATTTGGCTGTTGTCTTGAGCTACTTAAGCCAGAGAAGAAAAAGATACAAATCATGATACGATTTGCGAAACCAAGGAGAATGACAACAAACATGGCGACACGTCACCAAGGGAGTCAACAGGCAAAACACGGGCAACGCGACCGTCTAGTAGGAGCGACATAAAGGCAGCGCAAGCAGGTACAAGGAAAATTAATCATCTTTCCAAATGAATTGGAATTGTGACGATGTATATAATAATCGGGATGAATGTTTTGTGTGTAAAGCGGAAGTTTCGATAAGTTTGTAACACTTGGAATGCGGACGTTGCAACAAACGAGTTTACATAAAATGCCTGAAAATCAAGGACAATGAATACAAAATAAGAGAGGAAGAAAATGAATTAAGAGAAAATACGGAAATTATTCTCGGCGTGCAAATTGGAACTGGCGGAAACGAAAATCCTTCAAATCTCAAGACTAGGAAAGTAAAAAAAAAAAAAAAAACCCAGAAAAATGCTGAAGCATCAAAGAGACCCACGCTAGTCGTTTTTTTAATCCGAGCAAATAAAGTGGGACCTATTCCGCAATATTTGCAATCTACGGGTCAAGAAGGGCAGAAAAGGCACTCAGATAGACCCAAACGAAAAGCAGAAAACTCGTTGGGGGAATACATGTTCAGGGTTCGCGGACCTCAATGGACTCGGCGAATAGTCAAAATTGTAAGCGGATTTCCGGGCTGGGAAAGAGGAAGGAAGTCAAGTCGTCGTTAAAGTGTTTATACACCAACGCCGATCAGCTGAGGAACAAATTAGACGAACTTTTGATCAGAACAAATATTGAAAGTCCACAGATAATTGGAATCACTGAAGTTAAAGCTAAAAATAGCAAATATACCGTGTTCGAATCTGAATATTATATCGAGAACAATTTTGCTATGTTTTCTAAACATTTGGATTCTCCTACCGGGAGGGGTCTTATGTTATATATTAGTAACTATCTAACTTGTAAGGAAGTGGCTTTTAACACTTCCTTTGAGGAATATCTCAGCGTAAACATAACTTTAAATAGTACAGATGAGATGTTAGTATGTCTTGTGTATAGATCGAACAGCGGATCAAGTGAGAATTATGATCAAGCATATACATATGATCGAGGCAGTGCAACGGAGAGCAACAAAACAATTATCAGGATTTAAGGAACTGACTTTTTCGGAAAGACTGAAACGCCTAAAATTACCAACATTGGCATGCAGGAGGATTCGTGGGTATATGGTTGAAGTCTTCAAAGTTACGAACAGTTTTTGTGATAGTAACGCTGCTGGTTTTCTTCAATTGTGGATCGACAAAGTTCAAATTCAGTGGACAAGGGGTCACTACAAAACACTTTACATGCAGCACTGTAAACTTGACATCAGAAAACAGTATTTTGCTTTGCGTGTGGTCAAAATATGGAACAATCTTCCGGAGTATATTGTATCGGCACCAACAATTGACTATTTCAAAAATGGATTAGATCGACACTGGGCAAATCAAGAACTGGTATATAATTATAAACCAGAAATTCTGTAGTTCCTGGATCTGACGTCTCAAATGACAATAATTATAAACATTATCATTGTATCACTGAGACCGGTTTAGAGGATCGTAACGATCCTGAACTGGCAATAAACTAAACTAAGAGTCGTACTAGAAGAACCCGGCCGTAAAATAAAACAATGAATTTTAAGATGACTAATTTTATTCAAGCTATATGAATGTAAGAAACATTACAGTATGGTTTATCATTGTATAAGACGAATGTTATTTTAATTTGTTTTGTATAGCCGCCACCTCCAGGACCTCGTGGGGGTGACATACCGTACAATAAAGACGATCCTCTTGTCATGACAGTCACTAACTCTGTTGTCGACTTCATTAATGAAGCCCGGGGTTATTCTGATTACATTCCAAGGAAATCACTCTCTGAAATACTGAATGGAACATATCAGGTACGCATGTATATATTTTACTGTGACACTGCTCTAGTCAGACTATTTATTTTTGCTTTTTTTACTCGATCGCATTTGCGATACGTACCTTTACGTACCCTAATAATGGTTCATGGGATGAGTTATCTCGCGGTATCGCGAAGGCTAATAGTGAAAGCATAGTAAGTTTAATAAATTCAATCAGCATTTTGAATTATTTCTTTTTACTTAGACTGTGTGCAGATAAACCTGGCAGCCGGTACATCTCAAGCTACCACTGAGGCAACTAGTGTAGTATCATACACTTAACCGCCCCCTTTCAGATATAAAAGGAAAATACTTACTTTCTCTAATCAATGCACTTTTTATTTAGTAACTATTTCTGCTTTCCGTTCTATTTGAGATTGGCGCCGTTTATTAATTCTAGTCCGGAAGAAGAAATTTTCAGTTTGATGGAGCGACTTTTCTTTGAGCGAGCTGACGATTCCTGGGACTATTTGACCATATTCAAAATAATGTTTTCTGATATATTGTGTATTTAACTGGTGTTTGTTTTTATCAAATTACTACATATATATTTAACCCCTTTTTTACAATAAATTTCCTAATTGAAATCAAACAATTCCTCATTTAGAACGTGGCCGAGATGTACCGGTAGCCTACTTTCCTCGGAGTGTGACGTGCAATTGTTTTTGCTGCGATCACATATACATTCAGTGTCTAGAGTTCAAAATATACCGAGATTGATATAATTTTTTTTTGATATTTCAATTATCATCTTACATACAACAACTTGGGATGGTTTTTTGTCCGTTATAAAGGGCCTTCAGCGTCATCGGCCAAAGGGATTATCGAGACACCTAAATTTACACCACATTGTTTTGTGTTCTATGTATGTGAACATGTGCTTTATTTGTGTCTTGATTAAAGTGCAGGTTGCCTCGAAAATTTGACAATTCGCTTGTCCGTACTGTTGCTATTACCTTCATTGATTATATATATATATATACATCAAGGGATTAAATGTATCGCGGTTTCAATAGAAATAAGTCGCGTTTCTTGGTATGATAAAAACACTATGACTTCCGAATAATTTTCATTCTCAGTTAAGTTTATTTTATACGAAGCGATATTTCTATGGCTTACTTTCGAATATATATCGTGGATAGAGAGTTACATGTGGGCTTTACTATTACAGCGGCGGCAGCCGTCAACATCTGTGCTCTACTCCAAGTTATTCAACAATTGCAAATTCGATTGTCATCAAACTTATACAATAAATATATGCTTAATTTTCCTTTTGCTCGACATTAAACTTCATAACCAATACTTGAATAAGCGCATATCAATGCAAAACCACTTCGACATGCATTTCAAATCCTAAATATTCAAGTACAGCTTGCAACTGATTTAATTTATCATTAATCAATAGTGTGCGTAAACATGGAAAATGCAGCAGATTTGCTTAATCCTGATGGTATGGTCAGACATCTGAGATAAATATTTACGTGTAATTATGGTATTTGATTCGCATCTGCCAACATCTTTGTATTTAAAAGAGGTTATCATATTTATGTCATCCAGTATAACCGCACTTTTGTAGTACATGGATATTATTATTCCAAGTGCATATATTTAGATAGCACTTAGACAAATTTGATTACTTACCTTCTTCGGAATCCCTATTTGTTTATCTAAAAAATCATTTATATTTTGTTATTCTAAAATTTATCACATGAAATCCAACAAAGAAACACCGACCGGTCAACATTACCTTAATTGATTTAAACAGAAATTCTATAGATATAAACAAAATGAAGATTTACACGGAGACATCTGAAAACGATGAATAAGGCAAGTACAAGAAACTTCCATTTCATCGACGCCACTTGACACTCGAGTGAATGTATGTAACATCATGCTCCTAATCAGAGAACGGTTGCCACAATGAAACTACCAGGCATACTTTCCAGCATAAAATACGTACAATGTCATATCGAACGACAGATCTTCCATCTTCAAATGCAATCAATTTGACGTCATAAAACTTTCCCATAATCTTCGTTCCCTTGCATCTCTTGAAACTTGCGAACATGCTTTTAACGTATTGACTTTATATTTATTTAAATTAATCTTCGTTCAAGTGGGTCGGACGGATACACGATTGAAATATGATCGGTTTATAATAATCTCTATTCTAATAAGTTCACTAATGATGCTATCAGCATACGAGTAAGAAAAGGAACAAATTACATGTCGTATTTTTGAGTATATAATATCAATAAGGTGTAAAGATTTTACTGAAGAGACGTGTAGTATATATCAAGCTACGTTTGTTATCTTATATCAGTACATAAAGATATAGCGGTATAAACAGGATGTACGTTTTTGTTTTTAATGTAGATCGTTGATGGAGAACTTTATCATTTGAACTTCATCATCGGAATATCAATATGCAACAATAGCAAGGACAACGCCAATAAAACTACAAAGGATTGTCCTTTGAGACCGGACTCCAGACTGCGGGTATTCGTTGTGTTATAATCATCAAATGTATGATAAACAATCTGAAATATACACGAATAAATGCGATAAAATCATTTTAATTGAAAAAAAAATTCGGTAAATCGGTAAACGAACATGGGGTATTTAGTAATAGTTAATCAAGAGTATATAAGTAAATGGATAATAATTTTATATTCAAAAGATACATTGTCGAGAGATTTTAAAGTATCGGATATGTGTTAATTTGAATATGATATATAAGATAAAAAAATTACTCTAATGATACGGGTACAATTGTTGTCTTTAGCTGTAAACGTTTTGCTTACAATTATGGTATTCATGTATATTTCAGCCAACTGAATGCATGGCACTTGTTGTTTACAAATCTTGGGAATATTCAACACAAGTTATTAATTGGACATGCGAAAAATCCTTATACGTGAGTATTGATCATTTAAGTTTGCGATGAGTGAATTGACGGTTTCAATTCAGGGATCAGAATCTAAATTTAAACATCATTACCACACCTAGGACTGGGCGCAGTGTTGGAATGTTGGAATTGTTGACCTCTATATTGAATGGTGGTTCATGAGTCACACTGATCACGTTTGACATTAGCCTTAAGTCTGGCAAATGTTTCCAATGATAAAAACGTTCCAAAGATTTCATATGGAAGCGCCTAGATATCAGAAAAGTAAGGCAACAGGAAATAGATATAAATAAGTTTGTGAACCTTTTTCTCGTGCCTTTAATATAATTGATCGATAAAGACACATGAGAAGACACCTTTGATTCCTTCTTTTTTCTGATGAATGATTAAAGAAATGATTATTTCCTTAAAAATGCTCGAGTTGAGGTTTATTCGATTTGTTTAATGAATGAAAAATAGTTTGTGGAGAATGAAAGATAAAACAACTATAGATAACTTTATACAGCAGAATGGTAATCGAAATTATTTGCTTTAACAAATTGATTTGCTGTACCTTTTGAACTGACGGTTTTTCACTACATCGTCATATTTGGACGAATATCGTGTATTATCTTTATTTATTTTGCGTACATGATTAATTGCTCTCCTTTGTAAAATGGTTTACAAATACACGAATTCCTTTATGTGTTATCAGATATTTTGTCAGCTTAGATGCATTGTCATAATTTTTCATTAATTTTTTGGTCGATATATCTGTAGGGAAATTAAAGTGATTTTGACTTTTGCATGAGCTACCATGTTTGAGTACCTCCTGAATATTCTAGTCATAAATGGTTGGTGTGTCTGATTTCCCATGTATATGTGCTTTTTCAATCATGCTCAGAAACATAGCAGTTTAAGTTCCAAATTTAACTAATTTTGGTTGCATTTCATTAGTTTGGTATAGAGTCTTTCGAAACAAAATGGAGGGATTTTTACATTTTAATTTTTGCTTATTTCCAATGTTTCTCCTTATTTTCTTTCCAGTCAAATGAATCAGTAAATTGGCCTATACAATAAGTTAAGTCGTTTTGATTGCGCTTTGTATGTATCGTAGTTCATTATTTGTTTGTTACTCAGAATGATAAGATAGTGCGCTTCTGACGTCACCAAGACCTCTTGTTTATAAGTAAGGCTATTCAGGACTGTTTACTTGAAGGGCAACATTTATTCAGTGTTAAACGCACCAAACCTATTTTACGAACAAAATATGAACTTCATTTTATTTTCGTCCGCTTTACTCGCTACTACATGTACAAGAGCATTTCCACATTACCAGAAGGAGGTAATTGTTTTGTTCATGTCCATTTTGAACGTTATACATTTGATTTTATTTTCTATTCAATACAACGCTATCTATTGCACTTTGAAGTCTTTAATATTATCAAACGTAAATAATAATGATCACTGGTTGACATAATACCGCTTTTAACTTGAGTTTATAGTTTTCCTTATTTTTGGGAGTTTTCCTATTCGAAGGTCAACACCAGCCAGTAATATGTTATATTATACAGGTACACACATGTACAGTTTTACATGCTTACAACTATTACATTTTTACATCTAATGTATTTAACGTCTTGTACCCTAACGTAATAACTGAAATTGGTTTCATTTTGAAATTATACATTCAAATTTATTTAAAAGAGTTAATTAATTACATTAGCTTACTTGCTTTATGTCCGTGCAGATTTACGCTAATACTCGATAATATACTAATCATCTTTTGACTGTTTTACTTTGCTTTATAACGTTAATATGATAAGTCAATAGAATCTGTGCTTTTATATGTTTATGCTTGTATCGTAATGTCTTGCTTGTTATCTCAACATCATGTGACACTTGTGCCTTGATTTTCTGCCTAAATAATTTTTACCATTGGAAAATTTAGCTTACTATGTTCCTACTCCTCCGTTTGAAAATGGGTAATATTGATGTTTTATCTATCCGGAATAAGACTGATCTCCGGCAAAAAGCATTAAATGCATTGAAAAGTTGTAGTTGCAAAATTTCTGCATCATTGTTATTTATATATATCATGGCTTCGATAGTATGTATGTATTCTTATAATTTATGTATAAGATCTTGTTCCACTTGTACAATTATCCTGGACCATAGTAAATCTAATCACGTCCAATTCATCAGAAACAAAACAGCTTGTTTACAAGACAGCATTTGGTCAACGCATGTCAAAAGTGTATCTGATGTTGAAAATCTTTTTACCCGATATGGTGGTTGATATAAACTGGTCTTGAACTTGTTTTTGCGTGTTCTATGAGTAGTGTGGATATACAATATAATGTTTTGATTTATACGCTTTTGTAATCAGGTCAAATGTAGAAATTTACCTGACGGTCAGATTGGTATATCAGAACAAAACTAATCAGAATTGATAACTTTATAATAAGTAATCGTTATATATTTAATCATTTACAGGTACGAAATGACAACGACCTCTCCGTCCAGTCGGCACACATCAAGATGTCAGGAGATTATGCAGCCAATGAAATTAACAGGCTTAACGGATATTCTTGCTGTACTTACAGATACGTTGTTAGCGACATAATTAACCCTACTTCTACAGTACGTTATCTCATCTAATGAATTTCTTTTAATGTTTGCAAGCTTAGACAATAAAGATGAAGAACTCATCTCTAAAACTGATGCACTTAAAACCATAACGTTCTGACTAAGATGATATTACGATTCGAATAATATAGGGACATGTATCCGCTCTTTATGGTAATCTATGGTATACGTATATGTACATCATTATTTCCAATAGCGAATAATTTGCCATATGGTACATTAATGAATGTATATTTTACTATATATAGCCGTTTGTATTGCAATGTTTATATTAAACGTAATGCTAATTTGTTTGACGGCAATGTATATCTAAAAGTTCTAAATATATGAATGCTACTCAAATGAATTGTTGCAAACACCAACACGGTCACAAACTGGCCGCCGTGTGGTGTTCGTTTAATCATAAATTAAACAAGAAACTTAATGCTTTTCAGTCGATACTTTAACCCAGGACACCGTAATCTCTTTTCTAATCAATATTCTACTGACGTCTGCTGGTTGTCCATTGAGGAATATTATACTATAGGATTTACACAGATTAAAGCGTCGAGCAGACGCTTTTTGTCCCCGGAATATGGTTTTATCCTTGAATTTCACGCGGATTACAGCATAATTGTGATGGTTTTGAAATAAAGCGATTGCGAATATCATAGCGTAATTACATAATTGCACTTTCGAATTTTCTAAGACATTGCGAACTGATCCATAAATGTACCAGTAAAGTTGTATGATTCTTAATGCATCATTCTAATGAAAAATACAATACAAAATCATCATCTTTTTCGAAAATTGATAATGGCAAGTTTACATTGACCCAATACTAAATCCGTGAAATGGAATGATAAGCGCTTTGTTCCTACATATTCATAATACAAATTCGATGAATCTTGGACAAAATATGAAAGCTAACTTTTTACACAGACACTCATGAAAAAGTGCAAAAAGAATAAGGCCAACTGCTTCGGGAGAAAAAGCTTCTTCACCCGTCATGTCAATCCAAGTAAATAATGTCACGTTCTCAAATGAGAACAAGGTTTACATCAACAGCCAAACTAACGAGCATCAACCACGCCCAGCTTCATACCCCATAATGAAATAGACATTTCTCCAAAATATCAGTATGACGACCTTAAAACTACTAATTTTGATCAACCTGCATTGTTTGAAATACTGTGTTGTGAGTCGTCAGTTGCATAACATTTTATAAAATGGAGAATCACTTCCTATTTTAATCTTTCCCAACGACTTTGTGTTGGTATTTAGTTTACAGGGACCGATGAATCCTTACACATGACACTGAATCTGGGGAAATCATTTTGTACAAATAATGAACTGAACAAAGATCGAACTGTTGATAGCTGTCCTATACAACCAGGTATTTCGGTAAGTCGTACCATGTTGCATACTTTGTGAAAACAATTTAAAGATTATTATAACACGGACTGTCTGTCGGTATATACTCTTTTCAATATACGTTATAGAAATGGGCGAATGAATTACGATTCTGTGGGATCAGATAATACTATCTTTAAAAGACACTTTTCGGTAACTGCACTTAAACAAATCCGGCTGAAATGTATTACATTTCAGTAAACTATTTAACAACTGACCAATAGAAAACAAAAAAAAAAAAAGATAAACAAAACTTGAAGATCTATTTTAAGTTTTAAACGTTCATTTGAAATGAGCATAGATCAATTTTATACTCATGATTAAAAGCTAATCGATAAATCTATCCCTGTGGAAAAGTACAAGTTAATGTTAATGTAGTGCTAGTGGTACATGATTATCACATATACTGTTTAGAATCGAAAGTCCAGCAACATTAACTAATAGTTAACTAATAGATAAATGAAATAGTTATCAGTAGAATTAAGTTTAGAACAAGGGGGAAATGTGTTTTTATGCTTCATTGGATATCAATTTATTATGTTTTTCTTTTTTAACTGCCATTTCACTAGTTTCACATCGACTCAGTATGTCATGTGCAATTGATGTCTTTGCACCTTTTACGTTACTTTTTTTCTTATAAATTGAATCTTTATATACATTGCTGTGTACAGATAACAACATGTGACGCCACAGTGTTGATTCATAATGGAAATGACCTCTCAATGGGTCAGTATAGGTGTCATGGAGGCGATATGGCGACGGTAAGATTGACCTATGAAACTGAACGAAAAATAAAAAAAGTTAATTGAGACAAAGCAATTGACATGTTCAATTTTATCACAAATGTATGCAGATTTTTTTTCATGAGCAAGGGCTGATTTAAATGTATCATTTTAAAATCTTCTCAACGTACACTTATAGAATAAGATAATTTTCATGAATGGAAAATTCTTTATGTATGTGGCTTACACAAATTCTTAATTTTATAATCCCCATGATTTTCCCTGGTAGGACGGTATAGTTTATTCAGGAAGATAACGTTTTTAAAACATACTCTAAACGAGCATATTCTTTTCAGAGTAGAATCTGCGCATTGAAAATAATTGCTACGACATAACTGCAATTACCAATATTGTAATATCTTTAGTGCAAAAATCGCTGTAGATTACCACTAGAATTTGTATGTTTTCAATTGTCAAAGGGTTTTTGTTTTTACGGCAATTGAGAGATCGAAAAGTTAATAATTATTTCAGAATACTGATTTTTTGGGGGCATATTTTGTTTAATTTCCAATTGAAATAAATAATGTTTTATAGCATTACATGATGGCATTCTATGTAGCAAACAATTTACATTTGCATTACACGTACGCTGTAGTTCTAGTTATCGTACTTTGCAAAATATTTCTATGAAACATATTACAGAACTCAGGTACAAAAAAGCCCTTGGATCTCTCGTTTCTGTAAATCTTAAATCTTGGAACTCACCATGGCCATTCAATGGTTATGCCAGAAATGCAAAACACTTTGGAGGAGATGTATCTAATAGCATAAGCAGTAAAATGATTATCAAAACACTGTTGTACTTCTGTGACGTAAGATTATAATTTAGAACTACATCTACCATATACACGTTTCTTCGGTTATGATAGAACATTATTTCCAGTATTATAATATGTTCCAATTTTAGATGATAGACAACATTACAGCATGCACTGGTAGAATTTCTTGAAAATCGTTATAAATATGATGCATAACATTCCTTCTTATCATTTTCGTTTTTATTTTGTAGGCATCTCCATTGGTCGGTTAAAGTCAATGTAAAACTTGTATTTAAAATCAAACGAATTAAACATTAGCACAATCTAGATATGTTGTCATTTCTTTTATCATCTGTTTGTCTTTGTTCTCTGATAAATATGTCTAATAGACTACATTAGAATATATTTTCAAAACATTAATTTCTCAAGCGCTATGAAAGGAGATTCAATTGTCACCGTCAACAAAAAAGCAGACATGAAGGACACTGTGAGGTTTCCAAGGAAAAGATGGACCTGAAATGTAATATAAAGGTTTGATAAAATTCTATGACTAAATTTTATATGGTAAATTTTTGGACCCTGAAATATGAAATAACATTTGTGCTATGTCATACACAATGTTAAAGCAAAGGTTTGCAAAACGTTCATGTTTTAATGAGTGGTCGACTCCTCCGATGAGTTCAACATAAAGCGGAACACAAATATAAATGAACCTAGGTTTGTCATGTTTTGTGAACTCCAATTAGACATTAAAACTTTGTAGTCTAATTCCGCTGGGTTTTTTCGAACATTTACCCAAATAGTTTTATTCAAACACACAAGTGACAGATACGTAAACGTGCATTGTAGGCATATCCTCTTAAGACATGTAAAAGACGTACCATATTGTAGTCAGTAACATAAAACAGGGCACGCCGTGAGAATCCATGCACCAGCATCACAACGGGATGAATAAGGTAGCAGGAAAATGTCAGGCGTGACAAAGGGACAAAGCCTTTCCAAGACAGGAGGGAGTTGACTGGACCTATGAAATAGATAAAACGTCATGTAATGAGAATACAAAAATACAAATTAAAAGCTTAAGACGAGATCCAACAACCATTATATTGATGAATGATGGAAATAGCTGCAGAATCTTTATGTTAGACTAACAGACAAACGATTGGCGAAGAAACATCCCTAAAGGAGACTCGTGAGAGTTATATCACTGCATATAAACGACATATCAGTACACTATCAGTACTCTAAGTAACCAAGTAATTAAGAATTTCAATAATAAAATCAAAGAATGCTAGAGCCCATAACAAGTTTGTTTGAGCAAAATAATATTCAATCATCTAATTGCAAAATGCAATTACCCGTTACTTTGTTTGGAAATGAAATGTGCTAGGATTCTACTTAAATTATTGCGATTAAATAAAACCTTATGTATTAATCATGCATTTACAAGGTAAAAATGTATGTTGTGTGAAAACAATAACAAGAAATTACCAACAATTCAACATTATCATAAACTAAACTCAAATTCCATTGAACTAGGGCAACATATGAACAAAAGAAAGAATTACACGGAGAATCATGAATGAGTACAAGGAAAACACATCTACTTCATCGATGAATATAAACCTTGCTCAATCCAAGTTGATAATTACACGTTATCAAATACATGCAGCATCATACTTGCTTAAAGAAATAGAACATTTCTTAATGACATCAATTCGACGACCGTAAAATTTCCCTGTATTTTCCGCCACCTTGCATCTTTTAAAATCATGTATAACGAATTTGTCCGTCCGTAATTCGTCATAATGGGAACAGGCCCTTGAATATCAAATCAACTGTGACTTATCAACACCATAGGTTAGCGATGCAGGAATGTTGCTATCCAGAAATTAAAAATACTCGATTTAGAGGTTGAAATAATCACGTTTTACAATCATCTTATTGGAAATCTGCCGATGTTGGTTTTCGTTTTTTAGACGATTTTAAGACCAATATATCTGAAAGTGACATTAAATGACTACGCATATGTTGCCCTAGTTCAATGATCTTCGATAAATTCAGCCTCGTATAAAAACAATATCAAGTTATCCAACAGAAGAGCAGACAAGTTATTAGACACCTTATCTGGCACAATATCGATCTTATAAATCTGGAAGTGTGGATCGAGCAAAGCTGACATGTGGTTTGTTTTCATTTTAGTTTTAGACTTCAAAGTCTTTTAAAATGATGGACCGAGAGTATCTAAAACATTCAGAAAATGAATCCAACGAAGCAGGTTCTTGTTTCATCCATTTTGTGGCATAATTTTCAACAGAATCCACGTGTCTTGAAATTCATACTCCAAGTAACAGAAGAGGTTTCACGGTATCCAATACCCTTCATACAATTCTCTTGTAGCTTTACAAATTGAATGGTGCTTAAATCATCAGTTGCTATGTGCCCATCTCACCATAGTTATAAGTAAAGGTAGAAGAACATGCTGACAGAGGACTACGTCTAAGATCATCTGCATTCAGTTGCTGCAGTGTCTGTTTATAGTTAATCATTTGACAAGTTTGGATGCGATGGGTTTGGAGTAACTAGAGGGAATTATAGAGATATTTCTGCTTTGAAAGTATCGTGTAATATTAGCATGTACAGACGTCCGGTGTAAAATATCGCTGATGTTTATAGCATCCCTCCCTTATTTACAAACTCAACCTTCCTAAATGGTGAGTTATTTGGGGATCATGGTTAAGAACAGGTTGAAAACCAGAGTTGTGTTACATCTTCAATATTTTATGAAGTCTCGTAGCTAGTATCCACAGGTCAGAAACAGTATAAACTGAATCCATTTGAATTTTCGTAACACGGAAAGAGAAAGAGAATATAAGGTAGCTCGAAATAGATGGACACGAAAAGGTGTTTGGAAAGTATCCATACGTGAAGTCATATCCGCTAGATTTATCATGATGCCTCTGACCATTGCTACGATTATCTTCAATTTGAAAAGAGAATAAAGCCATAACGTCAGTTTTCAAACAGAGTCCGCGCGGTGAATGCAACAATATGAAATGTTATTTCATTCAAACAATCTAAAACGTTGATATCTAATTTTTTAAAATAATTCTCATTTACCTCCCATGTTGTTATGACATGCAAAAACAACCCAGGCAACACACATCGCCCAGACAGGTCGGTCAAAAGCCTCGTAGAAAGCGTTCTGTAGTTTGGTCCATGGTTCCCCTCCCTCCCTATTGAATGAGTATATCGAGTACTTCAGTGTCAGAGCGACTGCTGTGGCGATAGTCCAACCCGCAAAGCCAATCATCTGTCAATGAACCAATGTTATAAATACGTACCTCGGAAGCACAATGAAAATCAATCAAAATTTAAACAAATGGTTAACTTCATCAATATATATATATATAAAAAAAAAAAAAAAAAAAAAACTGAGCTCCTTGCGCTAAACTCGAGTACTGCCACGTCACAAACAGTCTCGCGATGTGTTTGAATATAAACCTGTGCTGGACAAGAATTGTATGCTCCGAAAGGTATCGTATGTATTCTCAAACCTCTCATTGCTTGTTTTGTTCAATTTCTCTGAGTGAAATATCCTGCAATTCTTGTTTGCTGTTTGGTGGATAGACGCTATGTTGTGATTTTTATCATCCTGCACGTCCTGTTATAATGGATACAATAATTCAATGGAATTGTAGAAGTCTTCGATCCAATATTGATAAAATTCTTCGACTGTCTCAAGAACATAACCCTAGTGTAATCTGTCTCCAAGAAACGCTCACCAGAACCAAAAAAATCAATATAAGAAAATATTCATGGTTTAATTGCTTCGGTCCTGTTGGTAACAAAGAAACTGGTGGAATTACTATCCTTGTTGACAACTAAGTTCCTAACAAAAACATACAATTAAATACAGACCTCAAGGCAACTGCTGTTAGTGTTACGCTCCATATAATGCTAACAGTATGCTCCATCCATCTCCCTCTAAACTCTGACTTTACGAACAACCAACTTAACGAAATCCTATCGCAACTGCCTCCTTATTCATACTTTTGGGCGACTTTAATTGACATAACAAAATTTGGGGTTCACCCGACACTAATGGCAGAAGAACAAAAATTGAACAATGTATATTGAGAAAAAGCAATAATAAATCTCCAACTTATTGGCATCCTTCTTCCGAAATATTCTCCCTCTAAACTCTGACTTTACGAACAGCCAACTTAACGAAATCCTATCGCAACTGCCTCCTTATTCATACTTTTGGGCGACTTTAATTGTCATAACAAAATTTGGGGTTCACCCGACACTAATGGTAGAAGAACAAAAATTGAACAATTTATATTGGGAAAAAGCAATAATAAATCTCCAACTTATTGGCATCCCTCTTCCGAAATATTCTTGCACCTTGATTTAACTTGATGTCACCCATCTTTGTTACTCGATTTCCAATGGACGATGCATGACAATCTCTATGGAAGCGACCACATTCCAACATTTCTAAATAATTGTGGATCCACAAAGAGCGATCCCGATAGAATCCTGTTAATAATCATTTAAAAAAATAAAAATTAAGACCAGGCGATAAAAAACCAAAATGATGTTTTCTTCCGAAAACGATAAAACTTTCAATCAACCTTTGTCAATGTTAGAACTTCGGGAATCGTTGAAAAAATCACACGAATCTGCAACAGGACCTGATGGTATTCACTATCAGTTCCTAAAACATCTACCGGAGTCATTAGAAAATATGTACATGTGTTTCGAAAAGCTGATATACATTAGTTTAAGTAATACTCATATTACGGAATGGTACCGACGTTATAGAGTTACTAAACTGGAATATGCTTCACAAACACGCAACTCTCCCGGTCAAATTATACTGCAAACGAGCAAATCCGTCGTAAGAGTACCACATCATGAGCGTTAAGTTGTGAGTATTAAAATCTAGACCAGGGACAAAACCCAAAATCTTTCTCCCAAGCGACCTCTCAACTAAATACAGCGTCGGAAATCTAGAGTTGGTTTTGAAAAAAGAAAAAGTATAGTTAAAGATAGAGCCTCGTTATGAGCCCATTTCATTCACATTTCTAGGATTGATCAATGTAGTGACATCTAAACATTAAAAAACCAGTTCATTGAAAATAAGACAAAATATCGATATTATTACCTTATTAAATGGTTTCCTTGGACGTTTCCGCATAAAAATTCCGAATAGAATTCCTACCATATAAGCCGCAACTCGACACCAAGGAGCAATGTAAATATTCTCCCAATAGGCACCACCGTCCTCAAATCGCCTGTAGATACAACATTTTAACTTAATATAGATCTAAGGAACAAATAGTGCCGCGTTAATTCAGTATCATAGCTATTCTATATTGGAAGTTAAAATCACAACAATGTGATTAACAAGGGAACCACTACAAATAGGGAAGGTACTTTTTAGTTGTCATACATAAGGTCAGAATCGACAAGTTTATCAGGTCTCTCACGATTTATCAGGTTAGAGTTTTATTAAGCCTGGGGTCTTGACAACATATTGCTTCCTTATATTCATCACCATATTTGCGGAATAGTATACATCTGACGACATTGATCAGAACATTTTTCATTTCATAGTGATATGTGTATCGATTATTTGCCAGTATCCATAGATGTATGCTTTTCTGTGGGATTTTATTTTATCCAGCCTATGGTACATAATGGTTTGGTAATTTATTTACAAATTAATTACATGACTCCTATCCAATGTATAAGAAACTGGTTAACGTGGAGCAGGATATAAAGATAATTTGTAATATCATACTTACCGCAAAAGGTTTCCGTTGAAGATGTACTGTCTCCACATTGCTATACCAATACCGCTCAGCATCACCAATACACTGATTATGATTCCTACCGAAAGTTTCCTGACAATCCGTAAATATGATTATTCAACATGATAGTTACTATAAATGCATGGCATTTCATCAGCTCGTAAAATCTTGCTTTCTGTTTCGGGCGTTACTTGGTTATTCTTTTACTCTTTATTTGTATCTATTCCCTGTGCCACTTAATTTTAAAAACAAACACTCGTTTCCTTGGTCATATATATGCACATTCACAAAGATACATATTTACAGTTTATAATAGATTTCAGCGCTTAAATATTGTATTTAAGGCATACAGCACAAAATAACATTTAGATACACTAGAAGCAAATAAAGAATTACCTACGTAATGCAGCTGCTCAGTTCTTTACGGACTGATATGGTAAGAGCCCTTATTATAGATAAATTATATGCGAAAGAGGAATGAAGAAACTCAAGAAAATACCAAAATGTCAATAGAATCATAACCCAAATCCAAATTCCGTACAAAGAGTACAAAAGCTAAACAAAAGAAAGATTAACATGGTGACATCTGAAAAAACACAAGGAGAATAAGATCAGGTGTTCCGGAAGAGAAAGCGTCGTCCGTCTTATCGACGACACCCAACATGTGAACTTTCATATCAAACGCACAAAAAAAAAAAATGTCGACCATAAATATTCCCTATAATTTTCATCAACATTCAACTTTTCAAATATACCTAAATAGGGAGGCATATTTGTCTATATTCTGAAAATGCACTTCTTTAACTGAATCAAGCTTGGCATGCATTTGACGGCAAATTTCCAGAAATAAAGTCCGTCACCTGTATTCTGAGGTGTTGAACATGAGAAACACAAGAAAATATCACGTAATAATACAAATATAAAATGGTATAAAGTACAGTTTCCTGATATGTAATTGGCATCACACAACGTCCAACTTACTGAAGGTACATAGTAGCTGCCTTTATCATTATTCCGTGAAATTAATTGGTCAATAAAAATCCATACCTCTATAAATGTACTTGTATGTCAATGAAGTTAAATGTTGTATTATTGTGTAATGTATCTATATCTGTCTTAAAGGAGTCTTTTCAGCATTTCATGTTTTGTCCAACTTTTGAAGAATATTCCTATGAAATTTCATATATTGATATAGATAAAGAATATTGTTATTTTATTTGTATTGGACCCTGGTATTTTCTGGAGATCTAACCTAGCCACTTTCAAATTCTGCATTTCTGTATATCGTAGATTAATCGTGATTTGTTGAGTAAACAGCAGGCAGTAAATCTTTCAGCTAATGTTTGTAATAATAACAATTGTAGGGATAATTATTTACACACTTGGCACATGTTATTGGAGTCAAAATAATGAAATAGCAAAACCACAATGCATAAAATTAGAAGAAAATAAAAGATTGCAAGAGGTGTAATAATAATATTGCTATCAAACAGTTGAAATGGTTCCTGCTCTCACAGTTGAAATTTGACATGAGTATGTTATACATTGTAACAACTGTAAAAGCACTGTATACTTACAAAGCCATTAGCAGGAGGATAACTAGAGACACTGTATAAAACTGCATATCATTTGCCAGGTACCAAGACCATCCCATGCACTGTAAGGATTAAAACACAAAAGAAATTCAAAAGACATTCTTAACACATTTACGTATTTGGATTATGCAACCTAAATGAAGCTGTTTAACTACAATCATTCCATTGCCGATGAAAGAAGTAGGTCGCTTTTTTGTTCTGATAAGCGTATGAACATATATACTGTGTAGATATTTTACAGGCCACATCGGTAAGAGATGACACCTGTAGGAGATTAACGATGTTGGTATTAATTCATTTAACACCATTTGTAACTTCACTAACAGAGAATCAACAAAGTGACAGCCGCTTTATACGTGTCAGTCGTCGCCTGTTTGCTCGAGACTGTACCAAATTATCAGATAAGGCTCTATTAGTATCAATGTGCAGTCCAAGCCTACTGCACCAGTCAGAAAATAAGTTGTTGGAATACTACACGGTTTATAACTATTCTTTAAAAAAAAGATATACATGTAAAAGAAGGTTGTATGTTGTCGTTTGGTTTTGATCTAATAATAAGACAAAATTTAGATATGTTGTGTTTTCTCTTTCAACGCCATTAAAACCTGAACATTCAAGGAGAATAATGGCATGCAGACATAAAAAGAAAAAATCAATAAACATTTTCCATATTTAGTTTGGTTTTAATATACTATTAAAATCAAACAACAGATACAATTAAAGAAAAAGCATTACAAAATAGATCAGAAATAACAATAAAATACAGAAATGTCAACAATATTTTAAAATCAAATTCGAATCAAAAGCATATCTTTGAAAAAGAGCAAAAGAAAAGAAGGAAAGCTTCATCTGCTTCTTTGTGAGCAGATCAGTATTTTTCAAAACACCTCCCCTGCGGATAGGGGGTAGAATATATCCGCTGTACCCTCTGCATGTGGTAAAAATCCACTAAAAGGGGCAACCTGTGTGCCGTTGGTTGCGTCCCGTTAGTACTGGGAGAAATGATCCTGGTGGTTGAGGGGACGGTTAGGTGGTTTGCGCTTTATTCTCAAGCAATTTCGCATGACCTTCCCCCAATACTTTTTTTTGCCTCTATCTCAGTAAGATGAGTGGTCATTGTGGTCCTCAATGATCAATCGGCTGGTCATGCCAAGCCTTGGGATGTTTACATCCCAAATCCACTGCGATGCTTTGGTTGCAAGAAATTAAGTCATCATTCTGATAACTGTAAAACACAGAAAGTGTGTGCTAAATGTGGAGTTGCGGGCCACGAAGATGGGTCGGCAGATGGTGCTTGTGATGGTCGAGCTCACAGCGCGAACTGTGGTGGAAGGCATCCAGCATATTCAAGAGATTGGTCTGCTTGGCGCAGGGAAAAAGAAATCCTTATACAAACAACAATACTTTCCTCGAAGCAAGAAAGATTGTTGAAATACCTATGTCGGGTCCATCCTATGCCAGTCGTACCAAAGGTGGTATTATGATCGTGGAGACCCGTGATGCTGCAACACAGACATGTGATGAGGTACACAGACTGACATGGCATGCGACAATCTTTCTGGCATTCGGCTTGCTACATCAAAACCTTCTTCAACAGTCATCTCGACCACCACCATCACCATCAAAACAGAATCAGAACCCTCAGTTACCATCAAAACCTGCCCCCAATACTCCAAAAGTGAAAAACGAACCAAAATAAAAAAAAAATATCTGACGACCCAATTCACACCTCCAACAAAATTGGCTCTCTTGAGGATAAGGAGTACCAGGTAGCTACTTCTAGATCCTCCAAGATCTCCTTAGGTTAAATAAATAGTCTAGCTAATTAACAATGGCCCCGCCACTTATCTCTATTTTTGTTAGTCATAATGGATACAATAATCCAATGGAATTGTAGAGGTCTCTGATCCAATATTGATGAAATGTTTCGACTATCTCAGGAACATTACCCTAGTGTAATCTGTCTCTAGGAAACGCTCAGCAGAGCCGAGACAAATATCAATTTTAGAAATTTTCCATTATTTAATTGTTTCGGTCCTGTTGGCAACAAAGCAACCGGCTGAGTTACTATTCTGGTCGACAATCATGTTCCTCACAGAAACATACCATTAAATACAGACCTCCAGGCAACTGCTGTTAGTGTTACGCTCCATAGAACGCTAACAGTATGCTCCATCCATCTCCCTCCAAACTCTGACTTTACGAACAACTAGACGAACTCATTTCGCAACTGCCTTCCCCTTTCCTACTTTTGGGTTACTCGACACTTATGACAAAGGAACAAAAATTGAAAAAATTATATTGGAAAATAACCTTTGTCTTTACAATAATTAATCTTCAACTCCTCCGGAACATTCTCGCACCTTGATTTAAATTTATGTCACCCATCTTTATTACTCGATTTCGAATGTACGGTACATGACGATCTCTGTGAAAGCGACCACTTACCAATATTTCTAGGTAATTGTGGATCCACAGAAAGCGATCGTGTGCCCCATTGGAAATTATATAAAGCAGATTGGAGTAAATTTGTACATCTAAGTACCAAAATTTTTCAACACCATTGATTTACTGATTAAGAAGACCCGATAAAATCCTTTCCTACCGAACTTCTTGAGATAGCAGAAGAATGTATATCAAAATCCAAAAGAAAACGCAATAAAAAACCCCCTGGATTAATGAAGATTGTGATAAAGCTATATGAAATAGGAAAACCGCTTTGAGGCGATTCAAAAACAACCCCAAAAGCGACTAGAAAGGTATGGGAAATGATTAAACGAATCTGAAAACTAATGGAAAATTAGCCACATCGAAATTTGATATTGCAAATGCTTTAGGATCTGCTTTTTCCAAAAATTCGTCTGCAAATAATCATTCCAAACAATTTCAAAAAATTAAGACCACGCGTGAAAAATCTAAATTGAAATTCTCTTCTTAAAGTAATGAAACTTACAATTAACCTTTCTCACTGTTACAACTTTGAGAATCGTTGAAAAATCACATGACTCTGCAACAGGACCTGATGATATTCACTATCAGTTCCTAAAACATTTACCAGAGTCATCATTAGAAAAATACTTCTAGATATTTTCAACTATATTTTTAGATCGGGAAATGTCCCAAAGTCATGGAAAATGGCAACTGTCCCCAAACAGGGTAAAGATACAACAAATCCCTCCAGTTACCGCCCAATATCACTTACGGGTTGCATTTGTAAAATTCTAGAGCGGATGATAAATTCAAGATTAATTTGGTATCTGGAATCCAATCGCATAATATCACCCCTACAAAGTGGTTTTAGATCTAAGCGAGGTACCAACGATTATTTGGTTAGACTTGAAACATTTGTGCGTGAGGCTTTTCTAAAGAAAGAGCACTTGGTTGCTGTTTTCTTCGATTTGGAAAAGGCTTACGACACAATGTGGAAATACGGCATAATGAAAGATCTGCACGATATAGGTATTGAAGGTAATCTACCAAATTTTATTTCAAATTTTCTATCAGATAGAGTATTTCAAGTCCGGAATGGAACGACCCTTTCTGATGTCCATCAGCAGAAAATGGGAGTACCACAAGGTAGTATTCTTTCGGGTACACTTTTTTTTTGGACTTAAAATTAACAGTATTGTCAAAACAGTATCCCCTTCAATGGAGGGCGCTCTTTATGTTGATCATTTCATCATATGCTATCGGTCTAAGCATATGAATACCTTCGAAAGACAACTACAACAATGTTTGAATCGACTACAAGTTTGGGCAGATGAAAATAGTTTTAAACGTTAACAATCAAAAACAGTTTGTATGCATTTTTGTCAAATTCGGAAACAATACGACGATCCAAATCTGTCTTTCTGTGGTGTACCCATTCCGGTTGTTGAGCAAACGAAATTGTCGTTCCTTCCACACATATAATACCTTAAAGCCAAATGCCTTGAGGCACTTTATATTCTAAAGGTTGAGTTCCACACTGATTGGGGAGCTGAGAGAAAATATTCGCTAAGACTCTATAGAGCCCTTATTAGTTCAAAATTGTACCACGGTTCCATCGTGTATGGATCAGCTAGACCTTCATATTAAAAATTATTAGACACTGTACATCACCAAGGTCTCAGATTCGTTTTCAGAGCTCTTAAAACCACACCTACAGCATGCCTCTATGTAGAGGCTAACGAACCATCACTATGTAGCCGTCGAAATAAATTGGCTTTGCAATACGCCATTCAGCGAAAGTCAAATCCTTAAAATCCTGCTTTCCCCCTGTATTTGATCCAAAATATAAAACCTTGTTTCAAGGCAAACCAAAGACCATTCCATCATTTGGTATTCGAATTTCCGCCCTTTTCAAAACACAAATATTGATGTTAACCAAATTCAGTCATTTGGAACGATAGAAATTCCATCCTGGCTCATGAATTCACCTAAAGTTGACATTTCACTTCATGAAATGGTTAAATCAGACACAGACAGTTACATCTTTCGTTCATCCTTCTCGACATAAAAGACATAAAACGTTTATATATTGATGGTTCAAAAGATAATGATAAGGTTGCTGCTGCCATGGTTACACAAGATGGAACCTATGGATGCCGGCTACTGAACACCGCCTCAATATTCTCGGCAGAAGCGCGAGCTATCTACCTCGCCCTTGAATATATAGAAATACAGTAATGAGAGCTGTTATCCATTCAGAATCTCTTTCTGTTCTACAAAGTCCTTAATACTATATCATGAACTTGCTTTCAACTTTCGTATTGCTAGGTTCCTGGGCACATGGGAATACCAGGCAATGAAAAAGCAGATCTTGCAGCAAAGGAAGCTTAATCGCTACCACCTGTAGTTTTTAGACTTCATTTTACCGATTTTAAACCAAATTATTAAACAAGTTTTAAAAGCTCACTGGCAGGAGAATCGGAATACATATACCAATAACAAATTGCACTCCGTTAAACCTGTTATCGGTGATTGGTCTCCAGGCTATAGGGACAACCACCGAGACGAAGTTGTCCTTGCCCGTCTTCGAATGGGTCATACATACCTTACACATTCACATATGTTGAAAGGCGAAGCTAATCCGTGGTTCATAGGATGTAATGAGCTATTCATCGTTATTTATTGGACTGCAGTGACCCGTCTTCTCGAGAACGTTTTTATCGTAACATTACATGTCAAAAATCCCTTTTGAAACTGTTGAGATTTGTAAAATTCTACGTTACCTGAAAGATGTTGTTCTGTATAATAGACTATGGCGTACCATTTTAATCTTTTGTGTTAAAATACCAATTTTTAACATTTGTCTTTTACCTTTTGGTTTGTTTAATGTTATTTCCTTTTGGACCGCTGTGTGTTTCACCGTTTGATGGCCATAATGACATTTAATGTCTTGACGGGCCGTTAAGAATGTAATAATAATAATAACTTTGAAATATTATGATATAATTTTTTCTACAACAAATGACTTGCCATATACCTAAATATTATAAAAAAATATAATGAATATACAGGTATAAATAAAAAAAAACCTAGGTCCTTGTCTTAAATTGTTGAAGCATTTGTTGAATGTACGCAAAGTTAAATATTGTGTTACCTGTTCTTGCCGTTTGATGAGGTTGTTGATGTATAACATATTTGTCCACCAATTATTCTTACAGTATTGGCGATAAGCGAATTCAAATGGCTTAAGCGGTCCGTTCGACAAGTGCTCTGTCAGTGTTGCGTAGATAAGCAAAACCATTACGTACAACGGCGTTAACCTAAAATGACATATTCATATATAGTGTATGCATGACGTTATTTGTTAGGTTACAATGGATAACAGACTGTAGTATTACAATCAAGCATACTTACCTCCAAAGTCTATGGAAGAAATAGTGAAAGGCATAAACTCCTATTCTGGATCCCTTCACTTTCTTCATCAGCTTTGTCAAGGTATCTATCTGAGTGTATGACAGCAACATGCCACTAGGTGATACAGAAATATATAATATATAACCACAACAAAGTCATCACAAGTTTGTCAGCAAGTCCCCATTTAGAATGATATCAAGAAACATTTATCTATGGCATGAATACGATCACGTTACATAGTTCATAACAACATTTAACAAAAGTCTTTTTTCTGTGAGAGAACAACAGGATATTCGAAGCTGATGTGAAGCCTTTTCAGTAAACAAAAAACAAAAAAACAAAAACAAAAAAACGCAATAATATATAAGGTATTGAATTTAGATTTGATTCTAATTTTAAAAAAAGGTTCTGTTCAGGAGTACGTGTTTGAATTTATTTAAATAGTGGCACGGCTCAGAATTTACACATGTAAAACGTTCATTTATGAAAATTACTAAGTCTATTGAATTATGTGTACCTTCCAATATATATCTGGAAATTTTAGCGAATGCTTTGGATTTTCTTCAGTCTCCTGCTAGGTTTTAAAATCAGGTCCTTAGAATCACGTACGATTGTTTAATGAAGTTTACCCCATTATTCGGCTCGACTGTATCTTATTATAAACCTTGTTAAAATGTTATTCGCCTGTGTTCTATTTGTAAACTGGTTGAATTGACAAGCTTTTCATTTTAATGTTTAACGAAAAGATGAGTTTGAATTCTAATACTTTTAGAAATGATATGATGATAATAGCATAACTCATTTCTTTTCGAAGTTTTTCTTTGCTTCATATATCGTTCAGGATATTTTTTATCCACTTTTGGCAAACTTGATGACATACATCAAGCCATGTACGCCGACATAGCGCTAAAGTCCCGTTCAATAACAAATAACTTAGATGTTTCTCATTCTTGTGTATGTTTAAATATTAGAGAGCGCTTGATACACAGTGTGTAGAATAGAAAGCAATCTAACCGCCATAAACATTATCACCATCGTTGAATCATTCATTTTGTCATTCTTACCTCAACAGGAAAAACGTATCGACGGCCGAGTTCGAAGCCATCACTCCATGGAACGTAAAACTGTGCTTCAATTCCAAGTAATCACTGGGGTTTACTGAAAACAAATTACAAAAAAAAAAAAAAAATAATAAAAATAAAAAAATAAAAAATAATAAAAATAAAAAAATAAAAAATAAAATAAAATATATTAACATGAGCATTTATTTTTCTTCTGTTTAGTATGATTCCAAATAATAATAAAAAGTTAAATGCCATGTGTGGACACAATGAATTGCATCTAGATCATTTTACGAACCACTTGCATAATTGAAAAGATGGCTCTGTGACGCCTTTGACACAAACCCAAACAACTCCAGAAAAAATCGTTATTCTAAAGAACCTAATTATAATGTGTATGTGAACGGAACAAACGTATCATGCAACATCTAGATCCACATGGTTACTGGAGTTCATCCTTGATGGGAGATATCTTACGTGGAAAACATAATTGAGAGTTTGCTGATATTAAAGATTTCCTCAGAAAAGGGCCACAAGGAATTTCTTGCATACAAAAAATGTAAGCACGAAATTGAATTATGATATGCCACACGTTAATTTGTGTAATTGTAATTATACATTGTTGTAAATAAAATTACATGATTGTTTTGCATTTCTTTGTTATATATATATATATACTCGGACATCTTGCTGATTTCGGGAGATTTGTAAATATGTCATTTTATGGTACTTTCTGATAGTGTGTTACAATTGAATCTATTCAATTTGGCTTAATAAAGGTGTGTTCCTGTTTAACCTGCTCCAGACCAAAGGTGATTATGACATCCATTCAAGATTATGGTCAATTATTACAATGCTCTCCTTGTTAGTATATTGTGACTGTAAGGGATGCCAGGTTAAGATATTTTGGAGTACACTTTTGTGGTGGCATTTTAGGTCGGTGTCAGATTCGAACCATTACACGGAGGGTTTCAAGAACATAAGGGTTTCTGAAAATACACGCACCTGTCATAAACACTAACCTCGCATAATTGGGATATCCTGGAATGGCAATATTTGTATAGAAAACATTTTTTTTTAAATGCAAACCCAAAATTATACCAGGCAGCACGACATCAGACTGAAGTCGATAACTTGAACATCCCATGACTCACACTGACTTACATGTACTTACCCAATGTCCAGACTTGGAAGTAATTATGAGTCAAGCCGTGAAAATAACTATGGACAAGTATCACCCAGGTGATAGTTATAAATCGTATCCCATGCAAACAACTTATAGACTTCGATGATGTCTTTCCAGCTAGTATCTTCGGGATGTTAATTTGTAGGGCAAACGCCTTAATCACCTTGATCAATATCCCTGTAGCAAAACAAGCCTTTGATTATATATAATACATTTTCATTAACATAGAATAAAAACGAATACGTCGTGACTAAATGAAATAATTCACCACATGCATTGTACAAGGTTTGTGTGTAGAAATATAGATTAAATTCCAATAAAACGTCCGTCTATAGAATTTGACGCCATAGTGTTGGCATTATCAGTCAGTATCGCATGTTTCCCTGACTTAGTATTGCAAAGCTTCCCAACGATCTTTATCAAAAGATAAACATAGATTTCATATCAACGTATATGTTTCTATATATATATCACTTAAATTGATTAACCAAAACAAATCGATAGTTTCTTCAAACAAACTATTTGAAACACATTTTCGGAAAATACCGTTCTGTTTCGAAATCATGTTGAAACTCCCTCTGCTTCCACTGGCTCTCTATCAAGTTCATAATGACAAACGAAGGCGGCATATAGGTTCAATAGTGAATCGGCAACAAATGGTTGTTAATCAGAGGTGTTTCCAATTCGTAGAATTTACACATGTGCAACATATTCTACCAATAAATAATATTCAGGTGATGTGTATCGATTACAATGTTAGGTAATCATTAAGTGAAGGTGCAACTCAAGATTGGTGTACTGTAAACAACTAGGGCGATGTGACCGGTTACGATTAAAGGGTTTGATGTTGGACGTTCGGTTTCCTTTTTCATTTTCAAATATTTTCTCGTATAGAATAGGTAAAAACAAACGTCGTGTGACAAACATCGTCCCCTAGCGAACATACTTCTTTTTTTTCCATTTATGTTTATGACATTTTTTTCACTCCGCCCGCTCATACGTCATATGACCCTAGTATTGGGACTTTTAAAGAAAACTGTTGGCATTTCGTTGACACAGTGGCATTTTACATATGGAAATACGTATGAAAACTTTTTCCGAGTATTTGTAATAATAATTAGTAATTTCATCTTAAAAGCAGTGATTGGCTGTAAGATGTTAATACAATATAATGCTTAGCAAAATGAACTATTATAGACGTCAGTATACTGAAATTGAAACAAGAAGTGGCTATGGTAATTTGTATCTTGTGAAACAAGAATTTTGGTTTAAACCTTGTGTTTCAAATAGAGATTTAAACTTGTCATCTTAGTATGCATGTCGACAACCTTTTCCCGCCATCTTTAACGTGAAGCTTTGTTGAATAATTTATATTTCGTTACTATTAGAATTATTTTGTCGCTTCCACTATCGGGAATTGCAACAAGCAATTTGAAATACGATTTTAAAAGTAAGACAGCTTTGGCGGCATATTATGTCATTTCTTCGCGCAGTATTGCCAAAGTAAGTTTAGTTACAAGCATGCACGGATACAATTTGTCATTCAGACCCCAGGTTTTGTTTTTAGGTTATAGTTCAACAAACGCAGATATTCAAAACAGCATCCTGAAGAAATATTATTTCTAAATTTGAGTAAAGGATTAATGTAGATCAAGGGACATCTACCAAGAATCCAGGAACACACTTGACCACTATCACCATGACCGTCTTTTATGACGTAGCGGATTTTTAATCCTTATATTTTGATTAAAATGATTTACAGTAGATAAACAAAAAGTAGATTAAGTACTCATATCAAGTTGGGTTTTTTTTTATAAAGGGAACCGCCTTATCGACTTAAATCTAGACATTTTCTGTTGTCGTGAAAGGCGGGAATTGAACATTGGAATGTATTACTTTTCTTTTGTAATGTAGTTTTCTTATATACAAGTAAACAAATTATTTTTGAACATTTTCGTCGGGCTCGTAATGTAAGCTGAATAGATGTTATTATAACAACCTGTTAGAAAACTATGTATAGCGATTGGGTTACTTCACATTCATCAGAGAAATGACCAGTGTGTTGCGTATTTGCACCAATGTATACAGTGTTCGAGTTGGTTAAATTCACTAGACGTTTCGGCTCATGTCATAAATGTACAGTAATGTGGACAGTAGTGTGACGAAACGGCAATAGAATTATTGTGAAATAAGTCGAGTATCCAGACGTATAAGGTAGTAAAAACATACTATCCATGGAAATCGCTTTGCTTAAAATCAGATGTGCGATAGCCTAACATTCACTTATTCCTGTTTATTTCTGGTTCGCTGTGTGATTTCTTTGATTTGTCGCTAACATTTTTACCATCCCTTACATTTGAATCATCCCAGTTGGTAATATGATTTTGCTGTATGCTATGATTAGGTAATCCCCATTTTGTGATCTGGGACTAGAATGCGTTCGAATCTTGTGAATTATATGTCTTCTGGGGTTTGCATGTCTCCCTTGACACCAAAGCTCTTTCATTTTCTCCGACATAGGATGTGCCGCGTTTTCTTAGGTATGAGATACCTTGAGCGAGCAATGATATTACATCTTATGAAGTTTCATGGCTATTGTCATCTCCTGGCCACGGCATATTCTCTGAATGATTGCAGACAACACATTTATAAGTTAATCTTGATAGTTTGTAGCTTTTCATGGCGCCACAGATGTTATTCTGCTCACGTAATTTTTTGTTTTCTTGAAAACCGTTTCACATCCATTGCGTTAAACTGCGTTCAGCTTCTTGTGGGAGAGATGGTGAGATTGGACGCTGGGATACTAATCTGTACACCAAAACATTAACAGTGCCGTCATACGAAAGGTCGCAAAAAAGGCATCGCGTCATTGACTTCGTCTTCACGTAATGATATTTGTGGTATCTACAATATTGATATACGCAGAGAAGTCTTTCTGTGACCCTCCAGTATGCCATCTACTTCTATTTTCCACATGCTAAGCTGCACTCTAAAGGACAGTGACTTTAGCGTCTTTCTTCAATTGTCATATATACATGGCGACAATAACTGGAGATACCAAGGTGTCAATGACTGATGAAGGGGTGCAGATACACGGTAAGGCGGATAGAGAAGTATAAGTACAACTGCTATTAATTCAATACTGTCATGAATATGAGGCTAACTAATGGTTTCAGCGAATAATAGCAAGTGCGTTACCAGTGGGCGTTCTAGTTAAAGAAATATAACAGCATATGAAATAAATTACTCATCCCTTTGAATCTAGACAATTGATCCACTTTCTGCCAGGTCAGTTGAGTTATACAACAGGGTAAATAACTTCACACTGGTTCAACTAGTTGTGATTTAGTATATAATTAAGTCAAGGTGCACACTCATAATTATGCTTCAAAGAACCGTGCATAAAAGCTTAAATATTAAACAAATCTAGATCCCAGATGCTTGACCGAATGACCAGACTAACTTTGTTAGAAGCGGCTTCATATGCAATTTGCTGAAATTCAAATACCTTCTTTCTTGCCTGACCGGCTAAGGCTGTTCTCCTGATTCGTTGATTCATTTCCTGTGCTGCCCTCACTTTTTAAAACATCATTTGGCTGTACTTCACTGTTTTGATGAGTTGTGTCAGGCGCTGGTTTCTCATCATCCGCATGAAGTCCATTTGGTTCGGAACTCCTGTCTCCATTTTTCGTAGTGCAGTTGCTCTCTACCGAAACGTTTTTCAAATCCTCAGTTTGTTCATATTCACCTTCCTTCTTACTATCTAAGGCACTAAAAACACCATTTAATTTGACAGATTCTTGATTATTACTGATGATGCCACGTTCTTCCAGCGAGACATAGATAGTACCACACAAGCAGAGGAATACCAAAAAGCCGATGATTATTCTGGAAAAATAATGATGAATGATATCAGCACATTGTTAAATTTAGTGTTGTTATGAAATGAAACATTCTTAGTTCGAATGAGATTAACAATTCAATTGTTTGTAAATGCAATGTATTATCTTCACATGTCAAAATATTTAAATTTTCTTTGGAAGTCAATTGTACAAGACTCACAAGTTCGTTTTCCTTATATGACCAATCAAGTATGTTTAGAGTTGAATGTACATTACATGGATGTCATGCTGTAATTATAAATGTCTCATCGGTAGTAATATGATTCACCAAATTATACTTCAGGAACTTCTCTTCTGAGAAGCACAGACATAGTGATTAGGAAACTTTTTAGTCGTGTGATGATCTTTAGAAATGCAAGATTTAAAAAGTAAATAAATGCAAAAAATCAGTTTGATGCTGCATTTCTTTTTCTGATACAGGCGTATATGTAACGGAAAATAATTCATTTTCCTGATTAGCAGACATTCATAATAATTCTTGCGGCAAAAATTAAGTAAGAGGTAATCTTACGATACTTTGATATAAAGAATTAAAGAGTGTGAAAAAATGAAAAGTTTGAATATTAATTGAATTCTGATATGACTAATGTCTAGTATTTAACTCATTAAAGCCATTATGTAAGAATGAGGAAATTTTCGCGAATGATTTCCTGATTTAGAAAGGAATGCGCACCAAATAGCCGATTTTTGTCAAAGATCAAGAAACTGAAATACTTGTTTCCGCGCCCTAAAACCGGCAAAGTGGCCAACCAAATCGGAATCTACATATTTGAAATCTGCGCTTTGCAATGATAATTCATGAAATCTACCAAAGACATCCAAACTTCTACTATAAAGTCATGGATGTTAGGTTACAGACACGTTCATGATACATAACGGAAAGATGCTAGTGTCAGTTATTTATATGGAAACGATAACAAGAACATTATGTTGACAGAAAAGCTGTATAAACAGTTTTGTTTATTGTTTAATATGACCTGTATAACTAGTTATGTTTAAATAAAACACGCTATCCATTTTGTGCAATTGTACTTGAATCACGTTCCTGATTTGCTAATATTACTGACTGGATTATTTTCATTAATAATAAATGAAATTGTTTTGTAAATATGAAATGTACATCAATACATAGTTATTATTTTTATTTTTTTTTCATTAAAAAATTGTCTAAATACGAGAAAAGGGTTATCAGAAACAGCTGAGGATCTAATTTATGAAATACTTATATTTTTGATGCCAGTCAATTACTATTATATATATATATAATCGATGAGCCGAATGAAATTATTGTAAATACCACGTGTTGATACAATCCGTCCATAGATGTATGCTGATAAAACAGAATATTTCCAACTTACAAAGTAATGATAGCCGGTAGGTCCTTCGATAAATCCGATTCTATTAGACACTCTACCTTCTCTACATTCCCAGTGATGTTTTCAAGCGCATCTGATGAAAGAAAGAAAAAATATCATTGATAACAAGAAATTCAGAATGATCTAAAGTATAGTTAAGTAAAAGAAATAATTAAATGAATATTTATATGATGTTACTAATTTTATGTTAATGACAATGACGGATATCCAACAACTGATCCGAGTACATATTGACTAAATTAAATGGACCGACACAACGAGAACAATGTCCATTGTTGACTTGCCAAGATATTTGCCATTGAATCCAATTTTTTCATCAAGACCGCAATGTTGTTTTAAAAAATGTTGCATGATGCACTAGCTTATATAGGCGTTTGGAAGAGACTGAATTGCAAAGATTGTAAACGAATTATAAGTTACTACACAAATATGTTATCTAAGTAGCTGCTTGTACTAGATTATTTAGAGGTAAGTTGATAGTGTACTGTGGTTCCAACAGCCGATAAATTGAACAAAGGAATCGGGTTATGTCGGGGGTTCGAAGCTCAGGTTGGACACTTTTAGTTTATTTATTTTGTTTCATTTTTAATTAATTATATTTGATATGAAACTGGTGAATGCCAGATTATGTAAATACATATTAGCGGCTAGCTTTTAGTAACAATAATAATAAAAATCTACTTTAGGAAACATGTTTCTTAAATATCGTACTCAGGCGGGTTTGCATATCAATCGGGGGGTGGGGGGATTTCTTCGGTGTTCACTTTACCCGGACGGATGGCTTAAAATAATTTTGCACTTTAGGTTAGGGTTAGGGTATTTTGGCGAAGTAGTTCAAATTTAATTGAAATTACTTGTACATATACTGAATACATATACCGACTAGTTCAGCTATAAATATAAACATAACTTTAAATATTACCTATACATTGACGAGGGATTATCTTCCAAATTGTTTTAATAACGCATACTTGCATGTTCGTACTTGGTGATACAGACAACATTCTTGAACTTAATTCTGAACAAACTTGCTTATCCCTCGGTAATGCATTTTAACTCTGTATGATAGTGATTTGCTTGATAACGGGAGTAATTTAATATATGGATACGCAAAACGCCATACATAAGATTACATGTACAATCTTCATGGAGGTGATGAATTATTTTTCAGAATGGACAAGGAAACTCCGACATTTATATAAAAACAGCAATGTGTGCAAATACAGCAAAACTGTAGTGTATTTTTCTTACCTCTTCCTGCAACAATATAGTTTTAAAATGAAAGGAAAAGAGTCATCTTGATGAAGTAACTTACCTAATTTCATAAGTCCGTACACATCGCTGCTTGTACATGTGTCAGGTAAACATACACCCCAAGTAATTCTTCCCGTGATTCCTGAGGCCTTAAAATTTTTCATAGATAAATATATTTGATATTATTTACAAAAGAAAACATGTATGACATAACTTTCATTGGCATGTTATTCATTCATGCCAGAAACGAATGATCAAGCTGCTGGAAAAGATTTCATTTCCTTTAATGCAAGGTTACGATATTGCCTAAGTAAATAATTTTTTAATTGATTACGGTAAAATTTTCGAGTCTTTTTCGCACCAAGGGCTCGCGAGGCAAGGTTACTACTTTATTGTAGACATGTGTACACGTGATTTATCGTTCACTATAAACCCTGATGCATAGATCGTTCGTTTTCAAACAAGGATAACTGCCATTGTCTTTCATTTGTCATCTTTTATCGGTATTAGTTGTATAACAAGTCTACTAAGAGAGCTTCCTTTCATGCAATCCTTATTTTTTTCAGATCAGTCCTATTTCCAACCTGTTTGCACTAGTGTGATAATTCTTTAATTGCAAAACATATTTAAATGGATTCATACGTTTCATTAGCGAAAAGTAATTGAAGACAGCGTTGCTTTCCAAAGGAATGATAATATAAACATTAATAGTATGCACATTCGCACAGTTGCTTTAATGTGCTTTACATTTTATGCATCATTGTACTGTTATAGAATTTAAACAAATCACGTATTTACATGAATTCAGATGAAACGCGAATCACACTACACATTAAAAATATTTGTCATTTATCTAAGTAAGTACACATCTAGGTGACATTTGTACGCGATTGCGAAATTTAGTTGTCAATTAGCAATTTGAAGCCGTCACGATAACCATAACTGTTTACAGATGTAGAAGGGAAATATTCGCCGCTCAAAGTGCATTAGTGTCATTGGATACATGGACACATATCAAAATAAAAATAGTCATAAGGAACTTACAGAGAATCCGTTACTTGGTATAATGACTCGGCAAAATCTAGTTCCAAAGCTTCTTGGGTAGCGGACAGTTCCAAGGACTTTGTTGGCTTTGATCTCGGACCTTACCTCCACACATTGATCCATTGAACCAAGCAAATTGAGGTTTCCTTTCGACATCCCGGCAGGCATTTTTCCAAAGGAGTCCACCACTACAAATGATTATCGATGAAGTCAAAGTTGTAAAATCATCGTGCTTCCTAACTTACTTACTGTTTTTATATTTATTTGTTATTGAGAAATAATAACATTGCTATCATGGATACGATAATAACAATATTCTAGGGCAAGAAAATATTTGTTTATCGTAAAAAATATTTGGATTTAGCGGATGCAGAAAATGCCATTTAAATTTTACTTAATCTCCTTATCTTACTCGATTCAAAACGGGTATAATTCACATTTCGGGTTCGCTTTGTGTCGCTTAAGATAACAAAATCTAATCATTTAATTTTCTGATGAAGTATGTGGTCCCCAGACTATAGTTCCAGGCGAATAGAAACAATGCTATAGCGTTTTAAAACATTTTTGTGACAGCATGATGTAAATGTGTTTAAAGGTAGAACAACCGTAATTATAGAATTATGAAAAACGTCTGTTTACTAAAGACAGTGGGAAAGCTCATGATCTGCGAAATCGCAAACATTGCCTAAAGCATCATTCCGCATTCATTTTAGTATAAATTTCTATCTGGGACATACATACTCTTGCATTTAGCAGTGAACATTTTTGTTACTTTCGAACGATGTGACAGAAAAATAAATCACTGGAAAAAACACTTACTTTTCAATGCCCATGCCTTCTCATTTTTTGCTTCATCCAAGAAATGAATGGTATCCTCGTAACAAATATCACTGATCTTGTCTTCCTCGGCCGAACTATTGTAAGGCAATAGATTACGCGCACTTGCAGCCCGAAACATTGGTGAAAATGTACCGAGAACATTCATCTTTTCTATAACATTTATATAGCTATTAAGTGGATCATTGATCAGTGAGGAAACATCTCCAGCAGAATTGACATGTTTGTTGTATGTCTTTATAAAATCTGTTTCAAATACTTCGAACATATAGTTATACGCTGGATTTTGTGAAGCTCCAGTAGCGGTCATGAATGTGGCGAAAAGAAATAGCGTATCCCCTTTGTAAAGTAAATCGAGGACTGGTTTACTAGCAATGTAAGACCTCGTCATTAGCCTCTCCATATTCGAACTCTCTATTATAGTTTTGACAATAGATAACGTGTTCTTTTCGTCATTCAGAAACCCGGTTCCTTCTTCATCTATACGTTCTGGAAGACCAGATTTAAGAAATCCTTGGCTAAGTTCATCTACCACAATTTCCATGACAGTTTGAAATGTTGGAGTAGAAATCGTGTAAGCGGCCATCTCGATTGCCTTGTTCAGTAGTATGATGAAGACAGTAGAATCATTTTCTTGTCGATACCTTTCAATAAGAGGCTTGGCGATTGTGATACTTCGCGTCAGTGTTCTTACATAGTTGAATTCGGAGCATAATTTTTGTATATCCTCATCAGAGAATAATTGAGATGAAATGATGTTAAGATCGGTGTTTTGCAATGCTATTCCCAACTCATCGGCAATGACTTCAAATATACCCTGAACAATCGGGTTTCTGAGGAAACCTGGTAGAGATGTAAGAACATACGATTTTATGGCATCCAGGAGTTCTTGGGATGCCGATGTGTTTCCGGACGAAATTTGATTCATCATATCTCTAGAAGCCATAACAGACTCGTACACATAGTGAGATTCTAGCTCATGCTGCAGGAAATAATCTGCTAAGAAGGTAGCTTTTTCCGAGTTGGTTAAGTTCTGGCTGGTAATGGTTGAAACAGAATTCTGTGCCGTTGTTGAAAATATACCAAGCGAAATCATAAAGGCAAGGACATATTGAGGAGTGTATTCCATGATACCGTAAAAAGAAAAATTCCAAAATTTCAATTCGAATTTCACTGATTTACTCCTGAAATGGAAAGCTGACTTCCTTATCGAACTTTCTGAAGAGAAAATAAAGGCACAAAACTAGAATGAGAAAGCAACAACATTTTCAAATGTGAACTATTTGCACCTTCATTAAGGCATATATAGCGTACGACGGTTCGTCAATTAAGCATCCAACCAATGGCGTAATTGGCTTCCGGCAATAACATTGATAACCGTAAAAGTTCAACTCGGTCAGTAAAGGTGTACAGGCTTGTTCGAATTCAGTATTATTGCAATCAGTTCAAACGTTTAAAATTAATTATGATAAATCAAATTATGATAACCATGGACGATTGAACTCATAGTGTTACAAAACTTAATTGGTAGGTGTTTGATTCACTTCTCTCACATCTCGCGAAGTAATGAAAATATTATGGTGTACCTATAAATCAAAGCATCAAAACTACCGTTAATTCACAATAAAGTAAAGGTTTCCTACTTTCTGTATCAAACATAAAGTAGTTTGCGATTATGAAAAAAATCCTTAGTTTTTTTCATTATATGCATTCATTTTACACTGTCCTTTCAACACAGTCTGATAAGATGAAATTACCCACTTGCCACTTTTTTCCATTTGAAAGATCACTTCGAGTTATATAAGTTCGAGATAGCGAGGTTCGGTTGTATCTGGTCTGTGATATATGGTCGGTATCAGCATAGTTGTAATTAATTTTATATACATTGATGAAGTGTGCGAGAACGTAACGCTTAGCACTTTTAAGACAATGGAATAACATGGAAATGTGTCTAAAAGAATAATAGCAATACGATGTAAATTGACAAAATTATGAAAAGTAAAATTTGCTAAAATATATGTTTCAAATATCTGTTTAAAGATATTTTTTACTCGTCTACACAACAAAAGAAAATCTGGTCGTGAAGGATAGCATAGCCAGTATATATGCGGCGTTGAAGTCCAACGAGTGGTGAAAGGGGGTTCGAACGAAGTGATATTTTCTTTGTATACACAGTGCATCTACATCCTGGCAGCATATTTGTCACCATACAATATACACATATATGTATACGTCTAGCAGTTTCGATGACGGTCTCCCTTTTGTTTACCGTGCCCTGTCATTGCCTTTTGCATGCATAATTCAATATGATGCAATACTGACATAAATAATTATTTAGTTGATCTAAAGATTGATATGTTTCATTCTACCTATATTCCGCTCACATATATCACGGTGTGTGATTGGATTAAGTTAATTTTGACGAAGCCCATTTTCAAGTACAACCGCGGGGTTTATTATTGCGATATAAACCTTTTGCAACAACGTAGTGGATTACATGCTCAATTTGACCACTCGTCAAAATGTTAAAAGGTTGTTTCTTTACATTACATTACATACATGAGACTTATCTAAAGTTGCTCCAAGATATTAGTTTTGCCATTAAAACGTGTGGAGTGTTATCAGACGCCATTAGGCTTGTCATGATACTATATAACTATCATTGAAAAATGTTGTTCACACCTGTAAACGGTATGCAATTATTCCTTATAAAACAATTCATTAATATTGACATGATATGCTTTATTCTGAGCTTTAAGTATCATATTATTATTTTCCCCTTTTCCATAACAATGTGCAGGTAAAAGATACGTCAAATGATTTAAGTTTGAGGTTCAAAGATTGCTATGAAAAATTGCTAGAAAATAAGTTAGGTGATGAAAACACAATTCATTGAACATAACAAAGACAAACAAGTCTTACCTCTCAATGCAAAACACAGTATTAGATATATTAGTATAGACAAATAATGAATCGCGCTTGTCATTTTTCATTCTCGGATTAATAACCACATACGTTTTATTACGACTGTGATGAACCATGACCAATACCATATAAATATGAATGTATAAGGTATACTCTTGTGTTATGTAGTAACGTAACACAATTCTTAAGTTCGATCTGAAATATGTAAATAAAAGTAAACTTAGTTCCTCGGTTTATTTCGGTATTTCAATAGATCAAAAACATAATTAGATCTCCATTTTTTTTACCAAATTATACTTAAATGATCTCGTTATGGTTTGATTAGGATATTTCTTAGAATTAGAATATGGTCTATTTTGTTTGTTTATACACAGATTCAAGTGATTTACTATCGTCGGAAAACCATTGAACTCTGCTATTTTGATCAAACGATAAAACATTGTCACGAGAGATTCAGGTGGTGTTACAAACATCAGATATATTATATTATACATATAATTCCTATGCAATATGCTTGTCAAATATGTTTAGGTTATTAGATATTAGATAGGAATCATATATTCACTGCAATTACACAACCCACAACTCTTAAGTTGTTTAAGTTACGTCTCTCCTGTCCACTTTAGATAGTTAATATTCCATCGTCTTTGGCCCTTGAATATATTTTTAATGCGCATTGTTTTGTGTAATGGAATTTGGGAGGGTTTTATTTCGATACTGGTCTCCCAGGTCCCTTATTACGGCCGTCTAAGAGAGTCGCTGGTCAGATAAAAAATGTGTTCAAATGCTGGCGTCTATTTCCTAGAATGATTGTTACTACTATTGTATTGAAAGTGCTAGAGGGATAAATTTGAGTCATAAATGTAATTTTGAAACATTGCCTTGAGGCGTACATGGTTGATTGTTCAAGGAAATCAAACGCAATTTCCACATGGTCTATATCTGTATGCCTTCACGTTTTTGAGAGTTTATCAAAGAAGGGAAATGATTAATCGATGGTTTGAATTTGAGACTGAAATGGCCAACAAGTGCCTATTTCTATTAAAGAAACCGCTCTTAAAATTTAACCTTGCGTGACAGGTTTGAGGCTGTTCATTTTGTAAGCGTTGGTTGGCTTACATAAAGGATTGAAAATTAAAGGTCACCGGCGATGAAAATAGTACTTATGACTAAATAGCGATCACAGGAATATTAAAATTAAACGGTGATTATAAAAGTTATTTTCAATTCGACAGTTATCGAAATAATACTTGCATTGCATTAATTAGTCTTATTGTATATAGTCGCACAGTGGTTTTGCCAAGGGCAATAAAATTTACCTGTATATGATATTAATATATCTATGACAGGTCCGGTCCGTACCGGCTATGTCTCTCCTGTAACAAACACAACACTGATTACACATGTTTTGCTTACAAAACAGTAAACAATGAAATACAGAGGTTATGAAAACGAAATTTCTCTTTTTTGTATGAGATTTTAGATTATTCATTCCAGAGACAAAAAGAGACGCACATTTAATGTTTATATATGTGTAGATATAATGTGTGTCCGTATACTAAAACAGATCAAGTGTGGAAATCTATAAACAAAATACTTTAATTACGAGTGTACATAACTTTTCTGTCTGTATCTGATTGATTTACAGGTGTACAACCTATATATTGATGACTTAATTAGGAAGTATACTAAGTTATACTCTTATATATCGTTATGTCAGTTCTAAGTCGATATCGTCCACGCCAGAACCGCACAACGTGTTTTCTTCAAATCCATTTGTTTTCTTTCGATATTTATCAATTCAAATTCAAAAGTAATCATTCCATATTTGATGCATAAACAATACATAACAATATATCTTGACATCCATATAGTTTTATCTGCACAATACAAATCTGTCTTTACTGACAGGACTTGCATAGAAAAACACAGACTTTGATGTTCAGTAATATGTCTATTTTTCAACTGAGTTTTACTGTTATTCTAGATGATTTAGAAGATGCTAGATTTTAGCACCAAGAAAGCATATACAAAATAACCGGAAAAGGGACAATGGGTCTGCATTACTCAGTTCTGTGAAGACTGGTTGAAGTTTATTCATAAAATCAGACCGTGCGTATCATATTACCATATTTTGTTTTAAGATCAGTATACGAATTTAAGTATAATATTGACGTCATACGGCTTGAACATGTCGGACACAGCACCACAGCATAATTTTTACCGTTCGGCCAGGCGAACTTACTACGGGTGGACTGAAAATCAACATTTCTGTTAGGGTGTTCCGAGGGTTGGCAATGAAAATAAATAGCACGTGTTTTCAGCAGATATATTCATAACGTTTTTAATCTCCTTCCTGGAGAGTTCACCATACCTAAGAATAGAGTTAACTCCCATGTACTGTAACCGTTATATTTGTGTGGTTCTCAGTTGTATATCTATCATATATTTAACACAACTCGGTCAAATAAAAATTGGACCACAATAAATAACAAAGCATACAAATGTGTGTATAGAATTAAAATGAACAGAAACTGCGACATTATAAAGTGATATGACTGGTTGGATGAGAGAGCAACATTGTATGTTAATAATAATAAACATTTGTGTAGTGAATGCTTGATCAGCAGCGCAATGAAATGTGAACCATAAAAGGTTACAGTTTGATTATGAATTTATATTCTAGTTCTGTACCAATACGTGGAAATAACACAAAATTTCATAATAATGTTAAATCAGTCACAAAGCTTCCTAAAGGTAGATAATGATCACTACAAAAATATCTTATTCGAGTTACATATCATGGTTTCCAGAGTTGTATTTTTTAATTCAGTGTTGTCGAAGACAAGTTTCATCTCAAACCGCGAATTATAGAAATATGATAAAAATGTTTACAGTGACAATCAGTTGAAATCAAATAAATATGCATGTCAACTGCATTCATACCTCATATAATCACATATATTTGTTTCCAAGTGTCCAGATTCAAATGACATAATGTTAAAGCATTCCATTCAAGTCAGAAATATGTGTATGGTTCATATCAAGTCAAATGTGACAGTATACTAACAGAATGATCCTTAGAAACCTGAAGGTAATACACAAGCGAACTGATCTGTACATAACCATGGAATGTTGGCTTAGCTACTTTCAAATCAGTATATAAAGTAGAACTTCAAGGAAAAAAACTATCCATATATCATG